GTAGTCAGAAGCCAGAAGCAATTATCAGATTTGTCTCAGTGGGTGAAGCACATCATGATCAGAATCAGACCACACTTTGCAGTTCAAGATCCATGTTGGCCGACTTAAGCAGCGTTCAGTCTGGGGAAGCAAGAGGAGAGCGCAAAGCATCTTGAGAGGCCAACGCTGAAACAACGGCCTCAAAGTCTATTCCACTATCATTTTGCATGGGGAGCAGTGCCCAGTTGACCCTGGTTGGCAATCAAGCCTCATGGTTGGATTATAGGGAGGCCAACCATGAATCGAAAAACCATTGTTGTGGCTGAACCAATTGGGGTTGTTTTCAAGAGAAGCCAAATGAAGCCAGCCCTCTTTGGCGAGAATCAAATTGGAGCAACTTACATATCTTATAGGTATTTCATTTTTTGGGTCCTTTGAGGGACATCATCAACACCCGCTTAGATTTATATGATATGCAGCAAGATGTTCCCCCATTAAACAAATATGGTGCTAAACATGGAGGTGTTCCAATCATTTTTGGGGCCCCCAAGGCCCAAACCAGTTTAACACATACCATCATCATGTTGGTTGCTTTGCGCGTTGTTCGTGTGGCGCATCGAAACCTGTGGCCAGACGTCGAATCAGTGCGGAGCACCCCGGAGCCATGGAGCTACCAGAGCCATGGCTGGGGGGGGGGGCGGCTGAGCGGCTGGGCGGCTGGGCGGGTGTAATGGGACTCCGGATGAAGGAATGAGTTTCTTGTTGGTGGAAGAATTACTGGATGCATCAAGGGCTTTGTGAAACTAAGGGCTTTGGTGGATGAATTCAGGGGGTCTAGAGGAGATCCGGAGCACTTTCTGGAGGAACTCCAAAAATCCGACAGGTTCATCCAGGGTCGACATTAGTTTGTCAAACAAAAGGGGCAACGCTTATTTGATTGACCCTTTGGTGGGCGACTTGGAAAGCTGTGTCCACAAGCCGTTGTTGTCAGGGCTGCCCATCAAACTTGACGATCACTTGAGTCGGTTTTATTTGGTATTGTCCCTTGTAGTGTCTGCTAGGTGCTAGACCTTAAAAGGGATGCGAGCGATGGTCAAGATAATGGGATGACATTGGGTATACATCCTTATTGGAAATGCTGCCCGCCTCGGCCAGGCTCAAAAGAACCATAAGAGCAATGCGGGCTTGAGCAAATGATGCCTGGTTTTCTGTGCTGAGCTGTCTGGCGCAAAGCGATTGCCAGGAACTTGAACTCGAGCGGCAGGGGCCGGCCAACAAGGTGGAAGCACTGAGCAGGGCACTGTCGCGGAGCTGGCCGGCGGCTGGGAACGAGTAAGCGTTTGTTGCGCTGATCCCTGAAGAAAATTGCGGGCAAAAGGCGAATTGCGCTTACCCCGTGCTTGGCTGAGCTGTGTTGGGCTAATTGCAAGCCGTTCAGCAAGAGGCAGAGATCCCGGGCCAAGCTACAGACGAGCGTGCTTTAGCTTGCTGGTTTCGTTGCGTTGGCAGGCGGGGGTGCTCGTTTCAAGGAGCTACGCCCCGCTCCTGAAAAACATGCGTGGCTCGCCCTAGAAGCAGCCTCTAAAAAGCGCACTCTCTGCCCCAGGGGGCTTTGTGGGCCATGTCCAGTCTTGGCCGATTGTCTTGTGCTGAGACCTTGGGAGAGCAAAAAATCTGGATTGCAACCGATCATGCTGTTTTTAACTGGACAACGCCTCTTTCACGTTTCTATGTGTTTGGCGCGATCGCCGAAGCCTTCGAAAACCAGGGCGATAATCTGGCGCAGACCGACTTTATGAAAAGGGAGAAGGAAGAAAGTTGGGTTGGCTTAGGGTGGCCGTTACCCTGATTTTTCCTCACGCCGGAGGAAGCATAACGTCCTCCTCATGCAGTTGTGGCTGGGCCTCTTGCCCATGGCCTTGGCCTTCTCCTCAGGGGTGGGCCGATGGGGCTCTGATGTGTGTGGACCTTCCTGGGCTTACATCGATGGAGGGGGATCGTCAGATTTGGGAACACGGTTTCGGTGTCCTCAAACAAAAAACGGGGACGGAGGAGGCCGGCTCTTCGACAGGCCCCTGATCTTACCACAAGTTCATTTTTGCTGCAAACATTGTCAGAACGCCGGGTTGCCTGATGGGAATAGAATGCACAATGTTTCTCCATGAAGCATGGCACATGTGACTCCCGTGTCGAAGGGCATCTTTGCTTTAGGTGCCCACACTACATTATGCCACCCCAGTACTAGGCAGGACAAAGACAGACGTGTTCAACCTGAGCGATCGAAGCCCTTGTTGAAGGCTCACAATCTTGACCAGAAACCGGTGCGGAAAGCTGCTCCTTTGATTCTTTCGGGTTTTGGGGATCCTTTGTTGCCGGGGATTTGAGAACTCAGCTGACGCATCGAATGTGTGAAGGATGGAAGCCGCCTCAGTGCCAGATGCATTTTTCCGCATGCAACTGATGCATGCTTGCAGGTGGAGCCATCGGCTATGCTGTGTACAAGCTGGAGCGGGGTGCACTGTTTGATAGACCCATCGGCCATGGGACTAATAAGGAAGGGTGGTAGCTTGCTGTGAAGTATGGGGAGGTGTCAGTGGTCTCGCGCAGAATTCCCAGATGTTGAATGTGTGAGGCCCGCCAGGCCCGTCCACATGTCCCGCCCATGTCCCCATCCATGTTGCATTTCGCCTTCTTCCCCCGACTGCAGGCCCTGTTCCACGGGCACGGCATGCTGTTCTACTTGTATTTTTTGGGAGTTAGTACCCTTTTCGGTCCAATTTTGTATGGAACCTCAAGCGAAACCGCCCATGTTGGTGGCTTCCATCAAATTTGGCGACACACCCACCCTGCGCTTTGTACCTCTAATTCCCAGGAAGATGTAAGTGTGGAGATTTGTAACCCAATGGGGGTCGACACGAGTGCCGCGCCCTGAGCTAAACCTGTGCACGGATTCTCTCGAAGCCTTGCTTGGGCTGAATCTGTGTTCAAAGTCAGACCTCTTGTGCCATGGTCAGCCTGCTTGCTTGGGGTTGGTAGATCGCCATGAAACTCATTAAAGGGAAGTTGGAGGGTTTTGTGGGTCCAATGAAGGGAGTCATGACCACCCGTATCAGTTTGCCCATGGGCCACCGGTATTCAGTTGAAAGCAGGGAAGAACCGCCTCTTGAAACAACCTTGAACTTCATCGTGTTAGATGTCTTGGAGTTGACACTTTGCACACTGGCAGGATGGAAGAGACCTCTCTCTTTCTTGTTCAGTCTTCTTTCCTGCGTTTTTTCTTTGCTTCCTTCCTGCTTTCCGTATTATTTTCTTTGCTTCTTTATGTCTTTCCCTTTCCTTTTTCCTGCTTCCGCTTCTTTCCTTCTTTAAGTTTTTCTTTTCTATTAATTATGTGATTTCCTTGTGTCCCTCTGGTTTTCCGTTTATCTCAACTCTCTCTCTCTTTCTCTCTCATTCTCTCTCTCTCTCTTTTTCTCTTTCTGTCTCTTCTTCTTTTTCTGTCTTGTTTCTCTCATTCTCCCATTCTCCTATTCTTTACTTTCTCTTCTGGTTTCTATTTATCTCTTTCTCTCTTTCTCTCTTTCTCTCTGTCTTTTTTCTCTCTTTCTCTGTTTTTGTTTCTTGTTTCTCTTTGTTTCTCTTCGTTTCTCTTTCTCTCTCTCTCTCTCTCTCTATTTCTTACTCTTTTTCTCTGTCCCCTTTTCTTTCTATTTCTTTTTTCTTTCTCCCGTTCTTTTGCTTTTTCTCTTTCTCTCAGTCTCTCTTGCTCTCTCTCTCTCTCTCTCTCTCTTTCCCGCTGCCTCTCTTGTTCTCTCTGATCCAATGACCATGGCTGTGTGAGAGATGCATTTTGTTCGGCAACGGGTTTGCATTTGCAATAGTCTGCTTTTGCTGGATTTGGGCGCAATGGCAAGGGTTTCGTTGTGGCTTGAGCGACTGGAAACCGCACATTCATTGGCAGAGGGAACCCACATCTTCACGCATTCCGCTCCAGCCGAGGATATCGCCATGTGCGTCATGAACGACAGGCCGGCAATCGCAAGTGCCGCCCGAAGCTGCTGAACATGGGCTGTGAGCATTGGAACACATGTCAGTTCTCCTGCCGGCTTTTGTGCTTGGAGCTGTTGAGGCTTAGAGATATTTTTTTGGCCCCACTCGCCTCGATTAACTTTGGTTGCGTTTCCGGATTTAGAGACCCACAAGAGAGTTCAACCCATGACTCCTGGCCCTTCTCGTCACAGCGCTGGCAAGCGGGCACCGGGCCAGGCTGCAGCAGGAGCTGCTGGCAGCCTTGCTGACCAATGCGGAGCGCCCTCCGGCAGCGCCCTCTGCGGCTGAGAGAAAGGGAGTTGGCTTCAAGAACCGGAATCCCAAATGGGGAATTGAAGAATACCATCCAAAAGGCAAACGCACACAGACAGAAGGGGCAGAGTGGGGCTTGTGAGAACGCAACAGTCAGAGAGAAGAGCTGCAGGCACTCAAAGATGAGGGCGAGTAGTTCCTGGTCTTCGCATTCTGTGGCTCACAATTAGAGATCGGCCCCCAAATGCCAGCCGAGGCAGCTGGGAAGAGAGACATGCATGAAATGTTGCGTCCACTGGGCCCTGTTGGGATGCAAAGCCGATGTAGGTTTCACAGTCGCTAGTGGCATTCCCATCGATTCAAATCGGTTTCCGCACTCGGAATTGGTTCAAAAGGTGCGGCGCTGCGTGCAGACGGATTCTGCCACAGGATGTTGATGCGATGTTGTGGCCATGCTCACGCACAAACGCTCACGTGCGCATGCGCAGACGGGCAGGCAAGGCGAGGCAGCAAGATTCTTGCTCGTGTACTTGCCCACGTGCGAGCGGGTTCTGGACATTTAAGTTCTTTTTTTTCCCTGCTTTTTTCCCTGAGGGCACCCTTGTTGGGGTGGTTTTCAAGGGAAACGCACAGGAACATCGCCATTGTAAAGGCCGTTCTCTCTCTTTTGCCACCCGGATTTTGAGTTGCGCGCGACCTGGAACCCCTCTTTTGGCCAGGCCGCCCAAGCCAACTGCGAGCAGACCCTGCGGGAGATGGTGGACCGTGGCCGGCCACCGCCCGAGGACGCGGACGCGCACGTGGCGCTTCCCGTTGGACCTAAAGAGGTGGGATCTCGCTTTTGGATCTTCAAGGTGTTGCTGCTCCATTTTTGTGAATCAACTCCAGCGAAGAGGCATTTCCTCTAAGTTTTGAGAGAACTTGCTCAGGTTTTCATGGGGCTGGACAGGCCGTTGTAAAGTCGTGGCTCAGAATGAGTATTCAGGGGAGAGCGTGCCCACGAATCACCAAAGAATGACTTTGAAGATGGCTGAACCCGCCAACTCCCGTGCAGGAGGGCCGAAAGTTTGAGATTCCTTCTGAGACAGGTTTATCATTCTACTGCAGCACTGCGGAACGTATGGGAATCAAAAGGAGTCAAACAGCAGTCAATCCCCGCTATGTTTGGATCTGCCCTGTTGGGAGGAGTTGCAGGGCACTTTGCGCTTCATCCAGAAGTTCGTCCATCGGGGGGCCCATGCTGGGCTCCGAGATCGAAACACGGGCGCAATTGTCCTCCCAATGGGCGAGTTCTGTTTTTCTTCCTTTCTTTTTCCGGAGAAAATTGAAAGTCTGATTGATCGCTTAGCTGGTGTGTTGGTCTCTCAAGCTGGCAGATTGACGCCCAACGTGCAGAGTTCAAAGCTCCTCAGCCATGGAGAGGATAAGTCTTGCCGGTCTCATCCTTGAATGGCTGCGTTTGTCGAATCAACCGGGTCTCTTGTCCTCCGAAACGGCAGACAGAGGGAGAAAACAAAAGTTGACAGCAAGAGGCTTCTTGCTGCTCCGCCAATGTTTGGATGAGAGATGAAGTGACGTAGGGAAAGACTGGCAACTTCGAGAGCTTCGTCGCCAGCTTCAAGCTCCCTGCCAAGCCGGGCAGCCAAAGACTTGCGAAGTGCAGGTTAGTGCACAGTCCCAAGCCCAAATAGGTGGAAGCCGCCCTCTTCATTTCTTAGATGGTTTTGAGTAGTTCCGTGTAACGCTTTGTGGTTCATTTCCAAACCATGAAGGCCTAGATGCTTAGCGTCAAGCAGAGTTCAGGTTATACGTAATGAATATGAATTGTTGCGATTTATGAATGTTTCCAAAGCGGCGTGATCAACAGCTTCATCCTTACAATTGCCTGAAGGAGTCGCGTGCCTGCTCTTTATGAAGAGCCAACAGCGACACGGTCTTTATGGCTTGGACAAGATCTCGAGAGTTGGCCATTTCACGCATGCCTCTTCGACCACAATCTACTTCCTGACATATGTCTTGCCATAATCGATGATGAGCGGACCCTGCCCGATAGAACAGGCCCGTACAAATCCTTTTTCACTTCCGGTCATCGGTCATGACAATCTCTCGCTTGACAATTTGTCGAACTATGCGGCCTTTTCTCAATTTCATTGGGCAACAACACACCACTTCCTGAACACACCGACTCGCCAGTTCGGACACCCACCCAGCAAGAGCGGACCCAATGGGCCCCATCCAAATGAGCAACTAACCGTGAACAATGAGATTGGTTGGGACACAGGGGAGCCACTCAGTTTCTCCGCAAAGACCCATGTCCTCTTGGGGAACTTGGCTTATAGTTGCTAAAATGAATATTTGCCGAACCCTTCCCCTTGATGAATATTCAACTTCACCAACATGGATTCGGTACCTCGGCGGTGACGAGGGAGGGTCCCAAAGTGAAATCGACGACTCACGGGAGATGCGAGATCCAATTGGGTCTAGCGGCTATTATCTGATAGTTATAACCATAACCTTTGTTTTCAGATTATGATGATCTTCTCACATATTCTTTATGTTTAGAGTTTACAATTGTAACAGTAGAAGGTGCAAGACGGTGCAATTCCCCCATTTGGGTTTTGTCATCCCTTTACTTCCCCAAATCCACCGGACATTGAGACGTGTATTTTCCCCCCAGAGTGCCCGTTTTTGCTGAGTTGGTTTCCAGCTCGTGCATGTTCTTGAGAGGTTTCCCTTGCAAGGCACCAGCTGCTGGAAACCTTCCGTGCGGAGGCGACGGCGGCAGGGGCCTGGCTGGGGGCCCCAAAGGGAAAATGGAGGGGGGGGTGAGTAACTGGGTGGGGGGTGGGGGAGGGGGTGGCTATCCGCTTGGTCGGGTTCTCAAAATGGGATGCGAACCTTCTTGTGGTGGGGAAATCAAGAATGGAACTGTAGGTTATTTTGGGGCATCCTTTTGAGTCCCAAGTTCTTACTACTTGGTTGCAGCAAGCAAACAATATTGTTTAAGTCAGTCTGGCTCCTGTCTTTGCGTCCGGCGTCCTTTCTGGTTTCAGTTTGATTGACAATTGATGAAACCAAGCTGGTTCCGGTCGTGCCATGTTTTGTTTTTCAGGAACACCCGGGCCAAGACAGGCGCCTCCACCATATCTCCATGAGGCTCACTTCGATGTTCAACCCCTGTGTAAGCCCGTAGGATTGGATCGGCTCCAGCAATTTGGATGCCTTCAAAGGTGGAACTCTGTATGAAGTCAACGGGTGCCTGGGGTCCCATTCTAAGGCAGTTTTGTGGAATGCACCAGCATTCTCTTGGGTCTGCTTGGGCGGAGTGGATCTCCCACTCGGTTTGTTTTGGGATTTCGCCCCTGTAATTTGGTGGGCACTCAACCAGCAGGGCCTGCATGTTTGTTCGACAAGGTTTATGAGGGTCAACAGCATGGCATGACGGTTTGTAAGTGCAAGAAGACGGGAAAGGACAGGTCGGCATCTGAGGCATTCTACCCGTTGCTTGGTTTTTGATTGGTTGGTGGGTTGCCTGGCTGGCTGCTTGCTTTGCTTGCTTTGCTTGCTTTGCTTGCTTTGCTTGCTTTGCTTGCTTTGCTTGCTTTGCTTGCTTTGCTTGCTTTGCTTGCTTTGCTTGCTCTGCTTGCTTTGCTTGCTTTGCTTGCTTTGCTTGCTTTGCTTGCTTTGCTGGCTGGATGGCTCGCTCGCTCGCTCGCTCACTCGACCGGCCAGCCGGTCGGTTGGTCGGCTCGCTGGAACAACCATGGATGGCGTTTGTGCCACCAGCAATCAGAATTGGCCTTTTGGCGGCACTGAGGACCCAGCCAAACACAAATTGTGGTCAAATCTGCTTCTAGGCAGGGGTTCATTTCATGTATGGCTATCAAAGGCCCACGGATGACGAACGACCATCCTGGAAGCAGGCGACATTGGAGTGGGCATGTCTGTTCATGCTGGGAGAAATGTGAAAAGAACTTTACGCGGAGGGAGCAAATTCAGGAAGCTTGGGCCGGTAAGAAACCATGCTTTTTGTTTGGCATAACTAGCAACGCACTCGAGCCTCCACAATCTTGCAATTGGGGGGGGGGGTTTCCTGATTTGACCCCTGAGCCACTGACCGCCGTCCTCTGAGACTCTGCCCTTTTCGAGGTGGGCTGAGAAGAGCTATGAAGAAGCGCAAGCAGGCTCCAAGCTTTCGCTTGTGGCCATGCCTGTTTGCACCAGCTCCAAGGGAGATTCTTGGCCGGGTAGTGAACAGCTTCATAGTCATTATAAGGTTGGTTCGATTTGCTAGCTCCGGGATTCATGACTCGAAATCGAACATCAAGGATCACACAGTGCCATTCTCAAAACGGCGCCACGGGTGCGTCTCAGAATAGGCATTTGGACCCCCAACATGGACTTCGGTTTTCCCTGTGGTTTTCCTTTAACCTTGAACCAACTTAAACCAACCCCTTTTGGGTACCGAGCCATACCGAGCCTGAGGTGCCGGGTGCTGGGAGATCAAACACCTCATGGACCTCGCGGTGCAAGTGGGGGCCGACGATGACGACCCCATGCTGTGGAGGGCCAGGGATGCCCTTTGGACGTCAGGGTTATCATGCGTGGATGCGCAGGGCTTTCCTTGTTGAGGCGAAAGGTATCTTTTTCGGGTTGGTTTTAAATGGAACCAAAGGGAAGTGTGTGTTTGAAGCCCAGGGGTAAGGTGACTCCACGTGTGTGTGTGTGTGTGTGTGCGCGGTGTACATGGGTCTGTCTGCTTAGGCTCCTGGGCATTTTTTGGGGTTGGTTCAAAGGAAATCCAAAGGGAAATCACCCACGTTTGGGGCTTGGTTTTGAACCAGAACGTTGGATTCGCATCCTCTGGATTTTGCAGGCTCCCCCAGAAGGAAGGCTCGGGGATGGGGGTCCAGACCCTCGATTGAAAGGAAACCAAAAAGGAAACTCCCCACTTTTGTCCAAGTCCCTATTTTGACACATACTCTGTCACATGCCGCGCCGTGGTTGCGCGATGCCGGCTGACATTCAGACAGTATATCAGGGACCACAGCATTCTCCAGGTACGAAGTCAAGTGTGCCAGCTTCCAAGACTCACGCCAACAGAATCCAAACATGTTGCAAACAGCTTCTTTACACATTGTATTTGAGGCCAGTCTTTACATCCGAATCCCAAACATAGCCCAAAGCAGTCCTACCATGGGTTTAGCAGCCACTCCTGTGCTGTGTCTCCGGTGCAATTCTGGCAATGACGCAAGGGGTGCAATGGGTGCACGAGTAAAGAGCTGTGACTGTCACCCGGAAACTGCCCCGGGACCCGTGAGGTTTTGATGTCGCGCCTGGTTGAGAGGATCACCACTTTGACCAAGGCCTGGTTGGATGCTGACGATGCCAGACTTGGCATAGTGGCACAGAGGCAAACTCTTACTCGTGCAGCAAGCAAATGCTGGAAACACGGGGCTGTTTGCTGCTCATTCTTGGGCTTTAGCTGCATCATGTTTGCACACCCATTCTTGAAGGCTGTTTATTTTCAGGATATATAACCATCTTAGAGCATCCTCATTTTGGATCCCCTGTAAAGCTGCTATCCCCTGGCCATGTTGACGCCAAGCCGGAGGACTGCCTGCAGAAGGACGAGCTGGCAGAGCAGCGCGGCAAGGAGCGCGGCACTGCCCAGGACCCAGCGGGAAGGGGCGGCTCGTCTTGAGGCTCAGCAAGCCCTTGAAAGGATACGAGGAAAGCCGAAATCCAGGTTTGGGGTCTGATTCCTGTAAGACACACCCAACAGGAGGCGAGGGGAAGGGCAGGTTGGGGGATGGTTGGGGGAGGCAAAGATGGGGAAAGGGGGGAAGAATGATTGACAAGGAGGAGCCACGTGTTGCTTTAAGGTTTTTCTTGGCCATATGATCCAACTTTTGCAGAAAGAGAGTGGCTTGCAAGGAAGGAGAACCGTCTGACCGCGCTCATTTCAAATATCTTGGATTGGCTTATTTGCACCTTGGTGTCAGACTTCAGGCAGCCTCAAATGTGCTGGTTGCATTTAGCCTCCCTTTGAAACCAACCATGGGTTCGCCAAAACAAGACACATGGTCCAAGACATCGCCAGCCGCCCGGCTCACAGACAGACCCCAATTCGCTCAGCGGCCCCGTGCAGAGATGGCTTCGGAGCCCAGCGAGCCAGATGAGTCTGCCACAGATGCGATGGGCCGAAAGGTCTGGGACAAGGATCACTACTTAGAGAAGGCCAAGCAGAGCCATTGCCGGGCTTAGAACGAGTGTTTCGCAGTTTGCCTTTTTTTGGTTGCCCTTCCTTTGTTCTCTTCAGCCAACAACGCGTGGACACTTTTTGCTGATCGGACCCGTTTGGCTCAGGAACATCATGTTTGGCCCGGAGCGCATCGGCAAGCGGAAGGACCCCGTCATTCCGCTGCCCTCGTCCCAGCGAACGTACCTCAAGCGCCGCTCAGCGGAATTGGAGCTGGATAAGAATCTGGGGCAGATGAGAGTGGTCACAGCTCACACCATCAAGCCCTTGCAGGGCGGCTACTGGTGCAGTGTCTGCGAGTGCCTCATCAAAGACTCGGCATCCTACCTAGAGCATGTGAACGGCCGCAGGCACAACCGAAACCTGGGCATGAACATGAAGGTTGAGAAGATAGGCGTGGACCGCATCAAAGACAAGCTGAAGTCGCTGAAGCAGGAGACTGAGGTAGCTCAAGTGGAGGACATCGCTGCCAAGATCCAGGCACTGGAGGAGCAGGAGGAGGAAAAGAAGAAGCGGAAGAAGGAGAAGAAGAAGCGAAAGCGGGGTGCGGCCGGGCTTGACGAGGACGATGACAAGAAGGAGGGGGAAGAGGGAGCTGGAGAGGCCGGAGAGGCCGGAGAGGCTGAAGAGGCCGGAGAGGAGGGAGACGAGGATGAGGAAGATGAGGAGATGAAAATGTTGAAGGCCATGGGGCTTCCCACTGGCTTCGGCTAATCCAGTCGTCTCACTCACTCACGGCGCGCGTGGGAAAAGAGCTGAAGGAAATCGTTCCGTCGCCAGGTTTAGCTCGGGGTCAAGATGGTTGGTGTCCTTTGGGTGTCCGTATATCTCAGCAGTGCAAGCATACCTGCCAACACAGTCAGTACCGCCTCGCTTTCTACAGTACTGAAGACACGGACTGTTTCCCCGCTGTACGGGCAAAAAATCAAGCACTTCACGTGAGTTTGGCTCCGAATAGGGGACCCCCAAAAAGTGTTTCGTGTGTCCCTTCATAACAGCTCCAATCAGGGCCTCAGAAAGAAACAAGCAACGTGAACCGTGTTGTCCTTCTCGCATGAACAGCCCAACTGTTGCTCCATTGCTATTCACACCCAGTGTTGCTCGGACGTACCGCGCAGACCCTGGTTCATGCCAGCCATTGTGGATTAGGGGTACCACGGAGCCATGGCCCAAATGTCCAGCAAGTCAACCAAAAGCTACGGTCATTTCATCATGGACCCCCAAATTCCGAAGTCGTTTGTCCACTCAGTTTCCAACTTTTATCTGGTTTGGGGGCGTACCCCCGGCTCCTACTGTAGAAATTGGTGCTTGCTTGAATTGAGAACCCCTGAGAACAGCTTTCATTTCTTTTTATCCCCGTCCATCATCCACAAGGCTGGACCAAGCAAGTGAACATTCTGAGGGGCATCGCAAGTTGACTTTCGCGGGTGGTTTGCCTTGATTGGTTTGGGGGGTTGAAGCCCAGTTTTTTTTTGAAACATGGAGAAGGCAAGCAGGGATAAGGTGACTCCATTTGTGCGTGTCTTTTTTGAAGCCACCCTTCTCTTGTTGGGAAAGCAAAAGGAAGTCACCCACACGAAAGGTGGTTGAGCTCGTCATGAGACGTAGACATCTCTCCAGTCGACGAGTTCGTCCAAGACCCGGCGGTCGAGGTGCCAGCGCTGGGAATGGCCTCCACCAACGCCGACCGCATCGAGAAGGAGATCTTCGAGGCGATCGATTCCGACATTTGTTTTTCCTTCCGGGTCGTTTCGGTTTGTTTTGGTTGGTTGGTTGATTTGTGGGCTTTTTTGGGTTGGTTGGTGTTGGGTGCTGCAAGGCTGGGTGAGTTTGAAGAAAGTTGCTGATTCTAAGCCAAGTATTGGGGGGGATCATCACCTTTTGCTTGGTGGTTTCGCTTGAAAACAACCTCAAGGGTACCTCAAAGGACATGCGTGGGCGCCTCTCCTTCTTTGAGGACCCCCTGATGTACCCTCAGTCCAACAAACATAGAAGCGGACGATCGGACGGCTTTGGAAGACAAAGGCCCGTCTGCGTGCATTGGAGGCCTCCCGAACATTTTGCGCATCCCAAGGTTGAAAGCTGGAGACAATCAGGAAACGGGTGGCAAAACGGTTGGTTTGTCAAACTTATTGCAAGCCAATAGCGAACAGAGGGCGAGGACGACCCCCAAAAAAGTGCGAGACGCCTATGGGGCCACACCATTTAATGGCTGGAACACCCTCCAAAACAGGTCGTGAACACAAACGAACCCTTATCAGGGGTCCTTGCATCAGTGTCAGTTGTCATGTTTTCTTTGGGTTGTTTTCGGAGAGCTTAAGCAGACCATGTAACTTATTTGGGTCCAAGAGGTTGTACAATACAACTAAGAGTTCCTGCACGAGTACCCTCCGAGTACCCTGCGTGCGAGTGTGCGTGTAGTGCTTTCGAGCGTGCAAATGGACTATTCGTGAGCCAGACACATGGTCTTTAAAAGCATTCAACACTTATAGTTGTACGAGTCAAAAGTGTGCGAGTGGGGCGCGCGAGTGTTCGAGTCAGTCGTCCTCTTGTTTACTCGTCCGCTCGCGCGCCTGTTCCACTCGCACACTTGCACAGTCCACTCACACACTCGCACGCCCTACTCGCGCACTCCACTCGCGCACTTGTCACAAAGCCACTCGTAAGGGGTTTGTTTCCATGACGGGATACGCATGATGTCAATGTGTTTCGGCGCGCCAGGGACCAAGGTCCTGAGTTGATTGGTTTTCTACTGAACATTTGAGCATTCGGGTCGAGTCCCCATCCAACACCTTGAACCGCTTGCGGCTTCAGCCTTTATTTGAGAAGGTACAGGGAGTTGTAACATTGTAGCTCTCGGATTCTGTCCAGGATCATCGTGATGTCATGAGTGATGCCAGTCCACGAAATGTCGTGAAAGGGCCTCACTTATGATCACAGCCCTTGTGTCGCTCTCCAACGACTTGTAACCCTGTCAGGCGACGCGGCTTGGCATGGACAAGACGCAAGATTGCGCCCCAGCCATGGTTGCAACGATGTCGTGAGCCACAGAACATTCTGGGTATGGTTCATAGTACCAAAGGGCATGGAGTATCGACTGCTTGATGAGGTTCTCCAACCATTTTTAAGCAAAAGCAACCACATTCAGAAACCATACCCTTCTCGCTTCAGAGATCTTTGACCTACTAATTCTTCTGAGGCTGAGAGGGTGCGAGAGATCCTCCCAGCACTTTTGTATCTTCAGCATGTAAGTGCCAGTTCAGCACACCACGCTCTGAGGGAAAGCCGTCTCATTCAGCCCACTGACGTTCTTTTTGTGCACCTGGATTTTTGTCGGAATATGTTTGCCGCAGATAGCCTAGCATGCCAAACCTAGAATTTCTTTTCCGCTTGGTGGCAGAATGGGGAACAAGGGTGTGTTGAATGTTGCATATGCCATGATTAGATGCCTGCCAGGCATTGTGGAGGCAGAAGCTGCTGTCAAGCTCTTGCGGCAGGCCTCATGTTGCCGGCAAAAAGGGGATGCAAGGATCAGCCTGCCAAAGATTCTGCTTACCCTCCATCCTGCGCCATGGAAGGTTTCCAAAAGCCACGAAGCATCGACCAAAGTGTTCCCTAACGACACGCCCAACTCGGTTCATTCCCTGGGCCTGACCGAAAGTTGGAATGCGCTTCGCAGAAAGACGGGGAGCGGAAGCGGCTACACAACCGCAACAAGCGCATGCAGGACTGCCAATGCCCGGTCGAAAGGGTCGAGCCCAAGCTCGGCAAGTTTGGGGTGTCTGGTTTGAAATAGGTAGGATGTGTCTCCATGAGAACACGCACCCCGAAATTGGGTGGTTTCCCTTTGGTCTCCGATTAAAAACAGCCAGAAGGTTGAAAAGACGTTGGACTTGTTCGGCATTTGGCGAGGGCCCGTTGAAACCTTTTCTTCCTTGACGGAACCAAGGGTCAAGGGTCAGCGCGTTTTCGAGCATCTTTCTCTTTTGAGTTGCAATGATGGATGAAGACGTGACCAAACAGCATAATGTAGGATATAAGCAGAAGATTCATAACATTAACAACTTGAATTTAGAAATACTAATATAAAGGAAATCATGCAATTATGATTTTATATGATCATGAATTTAATATTGTTTTTTGGTTATCACCTTCCTTCATTATCCTGTACAATATGACATATTCTTCATTTAGACTTGAGTTCTTATTGTAGAAGCTTTATTAATATCCGATTTTTGATTCTTCTTGACCATGACACAACACACAGTTTAGAATCTTAAAAATAGTAACAACAACCTTCAACAAATAAGACATGTTTTTGAACGCAGCATCTAGAATTATGTCTATTTTGTTCGATTTAGTGCGGTGTTGCTCTCCTCTCTTTCCCAGCTTTTTTTGTGAGGATCAAATAAAGCCGTCGCCTCGGGTTGGGCTTTATTGAATCAAAGGGCACTTCTTTGAAAGTGCTCTTTGATTCTTCATGGGGGCTGAAAGGAAGTTTGGTCTACCTCATCAAAGACATGTCCTGAGGGCCGAGTTTCCATGAAATGTACTCTGACTCTCAACTTTCATTCTGCCCTTTTATCGCAAAATGTTCCTCAACATGCGAGCTGAGAATCCACAAGACGTCAACAGAGAGGGAGAGAGAGAGAGAGAGAGAGAGAGAGAGAGAGAGCAAGAGGGAGGGAGAGAGAGACAAAACCTCAGAGCTGAAGGCTGGCTTGAGTTGGCTTGACCGCAAACAGGGTTATGAGTGATGCGGTTTAATCTGGCAACGGGCTGTCTACATAGAGACAATGAATGCAGCCGCCATGCTTGAGCAGGAGGCACAGTGAGGGCTTCAGCATTTCAGTAGCTGTACAGGCTTTAATATTTGCGCTGCGTTGTATGGGCTACGTAGGATTGCAATTCATTTGCACCCCTTGGCATGTTCCAAAGAACTATTGCCGAGGGGCTGCGCATCTGCGAGGGACCGTATGGGCCAAGGCGTGAAGCCATGCTGTTCTGTTGTCAACACAAGGAGGTCGCTTCTTGGAGTTGCCAAACATGTACTCTGTATTTGCATTCAGAGTTGGGTACAAGTTGGTTTTGTACTGGTCAGTGGCTTTCCAGTAGGCTGCATTGGCTCGGTTGGCTCGGTGGCGAAGCCACCGAGAGCTCATGTTTTATGCTCGACATCGCGGAGCGACGCTGGCGCAGAGTGGGTTTTGCACAAAGATGCGCATGCGTTGTTTTGCATTTTTGTGTTTTAACCAGTAATCACCAGAAGCTTGCAAGTGCAACCGGAGAGCATCCCGTTCTGCTTGGGCAAGTTGAAGTAGCTACTGGAACACGGCTCAAGGTGTGGCTACACCTTGTCGGTGTTGTATTCAGTTTGATGCACGATGTTGTCAATAGCTTGATCGGTAGTTTGACTTGCACTGGTGGAACTGAGACTTGTGTCTTCTTTTGATTTCCAATGTTGAGTGGACACCAGCAAGTGTTTTGCTGACCCGCTAGCATGGCATAGCAAGCGGGTGCTTGGTCGACATGGCAGGCGCGACACGGCACGAGAGCTGCACAGCCAGTCCTGCAGCTTTCAGGGCCTCAACCCTTGGACCTCCCTCCCGGCAGATGCTTTGGAGACACATGCCGCCGGAGAAAGGGGAATGGAACAGACCTTGCAAAACGCACCCGGTGGTTGGAGGGGGGAGGGTGTGAGAGAACTAGCGCTGCGGAATGTCCGCTGAGAATTGGCAGCATTTGAGGCCTCGGGCCTCCCGGCAAAGATCGGGAATGAAGGAGCGCTTGTTGTCGGCCGACCGAGTTGACCTCGAGCCATCAGCTGGCTGGCACCTGAGTTTCAGTGCCTTCGAGAATTCAAGGATTGGGCAGCCGAAGTGAATCTCGACATTGCCTAACTGGAGCTTGCATCCTTTTGGGCTCATTTGTTTGATGGGCAGCCAACCATGAGCCAAAAGGAAAACGAGGGCCTGAAAAACAACTTGAGGGGTTGGAAAAAAAACAGGGCTGCCAGCGGCTGAGAAAGGACTTTGCAAGGCCTTCTGGGGGTACCCTCCCGATTCTTTCCAGGGACCCTTCTTGCCAGACAAGCAGTCAACACGAGGGAACGCATCTGGCTTTTGAAGAGAGCGGTGCATTGCTGACGCCGCAAGGCCACGTTGGCTCAAAGTTGTGATCACACCGTGTTTGTCGTCCCGTCCCCGATTTTCTGCGTGGCTTGGCTGATTGGAATTTTGAGGTTCGTTCGGTCGATCTAGTCCAGGGTCCATTCGGCAGACTTCAGGGGACTCACGCAGTTTCCCGTGCCCTTCACGAGAACATCATATCTTGACCGCCTCATGTGCTAGAATCGAGGTCGCTGAACTAAAGGCCAGCCCCAGCAGTTGTAGACCGTTGCACTTGAGGATAACGGGCATGCCTCCTTCTTCCTCCTTTTCGGTCAGAAAGGACCACAAAGCCCTCGGCATGGCAGGCCGCGACCGATGGCGCTGCGGCTGTTGCTGCTGGGAAGCTGTGTGGCAGCTGTGGCTGCCGCGCCCAACGCCTCTGCCACCTACATAGGCAGAACTTCAAGCAGATTTTGACTCACCAAAATTCCCAGGTCCTCTATGGGAAACGATCGATTTTGACCGCTCAAAAGTCGAGCCACCGTCAATTTAGAATTTGGAGCCGCCATCTGCTGGTCCTCGCAGAGTTTCGCGCCTCCACTCACCAAAGTGCAACCAGTTAACAGCGGTCGGGATCAGAATCCGCGAACATGCTTTCGCTCATGCTTGTACGTTGCGTTGCTCATATCCGAGGGCTGTGTCTTGCATCTTTCGTGGTTCCCTTGTAAGATACCCCAAACTGGCCAGGGGCAGCTGGGCACTTTCTTGGGCGTCGCAAAACTGGGAGGGGGGAACCAAAGTGGGACCCCCAAAAGCAAAAGGGGCTCCGCTCAATCAACGAAGGTTTGCCTCTGATTTCCCTTCCTCAAAACGCAAACAAAGACACGAAGATGTATAGATTCTGGGTCACCCCGATTGGTGCCAGGGGCCGTGCAGTCTGCGAAGGACGCCCTACAGCAGATTTGGGATCTCCAGCACTCCGTGCCTGGGCTTTGAGTGTTTAGAGGTTGCAAATTGGCTTCACCACAGTTCGGCTGGTTGGTTGGTCGGTTGGCTGGCTGGCTGGCTGGCTGGCTGGCTGGTTGGTTGGTTGGTTGGTTGGTTGGTTGGTTGGTTGGTTGGTTGGTTGGTTGGTTGGTGATGACAATATTTGATTTCGTGTATAATATGTATGTATATATATATATGTACATATATATATGTAATATATATATATATACACACGCATTGACAAAGCTTTCGTGCGCAAAGTTTGTTTGCAATGACTTAAGAAAGGGACTTATGGTCAAGAACCCGGCACAAGCCGCTCAGCTTTGCAGATTGAGGCGCGTAATAGGCATCAAAATTCAGGCTTTGCTTGGACGCGAGGTGCCAGCTTCCAGAAAAAGGGCTAAGTGAACCATGAACGCTTGTGCTTTCTTAACAACTTGCTTCTCTAGTCACTGAGAGGGGGCTTCGGCAAAGTGAGCTGCGCGATGGATTTTGCAAACAACTGTTTGCAAAGCCGGCTACTATAAGAACCTTGAGTTTGAACAGCTGCAGCCGATGTGTAAGGGCATAGGATACACATTTGAGCTCAATCCAAAGGAAGGCCTCGGATGGTTCCAGCCATGGGTCTTGAGTCTTCAGGTGGAGAGGGAGGCAAGTGAGTCTCTTCGAGCCGGGGCCTCAGGGCGCGGTGTGCAGTCCATGACCTGGAGCGAGTTCCTCGTGTTTCGGCTTCGCCCTGGCGCTTGGGCGCTGCTTGCCGGGCTGGTGGCAATATGACGCTTGCGACCTGAGGACAAGGAGAGGGAAGCCGAGCAGCGGGCAGAGCGCGGATCTCGGGGTGTCGCAGGGCTGGTTTCGCCACACGGTCAGGGCCAAGTTGGCTTCAACAGGGACATCAGGCCCCCCCTCCCCCGCCCTTTCGGGGAAGGCAAAGCCAGACTAAATTTTTGGGAATACTGCTTCAAATATACGAAGACCCTCAGGGAAGCAAGGGAAACGAAAGGGAACACCACCATTTAGGGAGTGCCCTAATGTCGGACCTGCTGTATATTTGTTTTTGTTGGCAACAGTTTGGACCCTTTTTGGTGGACAAGGGGGGCCCTGGGTTGGGGGCTTGGTGGGGGTCTGGGTTGCGGTATGGATCAGCATCGCCATTGTATTGCTTGCGCATTTTCGCACTTGTTTTTGTGCCGGGGGGTCAAACCTTTCTGCTCAGGACCCCAAATCAGTCCTAGAATCCTGCATTAGGAAAACGCTTCCTGCAATAGACGCCACACTGCCGATCGAACACGTTGGAGAGCGAGGCAGCATTCCACATGGACTGTTCCCCAAATTGGTTTGGCTAGACATTCTCATTGGTTGACCTGGGTGTCCATTTCGCCAAGGGTCCATGCCATTTGGGGTGAACTTGCAGTTGTTTGACCGCCGCATGTGGTTGACCCATTAATTGACCTATGGATTAGTTGACCCATGCACAGCTCGGCCATAGTTTGGTTTTGAACTTTGCCTCAAGGTCCCAGTTGGGCGTCAGCCAGCATGAGCTCTCAGAGCACTTTGTCTCTCTGCAGAAGGCTTGGTTGGGGTCAGGGCGCTTGGTGGTTCCTTTTATGGGGTTCTTAAGGGGGGGGGGTGTAAGGGGGGGGGGGGGGTAATTTGAAACCCCCAAGCTTCCCTAGCGCTTCCTAGAGCTCCTTAGCCAACCTTAGCACTCCCTCCCCAAAAAACCCTAAAGGCCCCAGCCTCCCTTAAGCTCCTGCGCTTCCGCTTTGATTGTGGCTAGGTTGGGTTGGGATCAACGATGGCTTTGCCGCTGGCCAACCCAGAATTCAGCGGGAATGCAGATTGAAAGGGGAGGGCAAGGGAAGCTTGGGGAAACTCTGAAAAAATATTGGGAGGCTTAGGGAGTGCTTGGGGAAGCTTAGGGAGCCTTGGGGAAGCTTGGGGAGCTTTAGGGAAGCTTGGGGACGGCAAGCTTAGGGAGCCTTAGGGAAGCCTGGGGAAGCCTCGAGAATAGAAATCGCACAAAAATCGGTTTAACTTGCGTTGCATAACAGACAAGCAAAGAACGGAGTGCTTTTTGCCAAGAGACTAGTGGGCGGGCAAACGGGATGAGGGTTGAGCCAGATTCAGGATTTGAACCCTGGGCCTAGAGCTCCCCAGTCCACCTCAACTTACCCCACCCCCTTTTACCCCCCCCCTTAAGAACCTCATAATTTTTGGAAGGGCCTCTAAAAAGGTTGCGTGTTTTTCATGTGGACGAGCCTCTAAATTGCAGGTGTACACAACCCCCCCCTTTTGAGACAACATTCCCCAAACCGCTCCCAATGAACGCCAACCCCAAACTGCTTTTATGTCGTGAAACGGCTTACAGAACATTCCATGTTGTTTCCAGCACGCCTTCATACCACATGTGAGGAGTTTGCATGCAGCGTTTGGCTTTTCACGATTGCTTGCATCTAGTTTGACAGCCTGCAACTTGATTGGAAGAAACAGGCGGTTCCGGAAAAAACCTGAGTCAGTCGGGAAGGAGGGCCCAGTACTGGGATCTCAAGATTCATGAACCCATGGAAGATTGATTTGTGAAGGGAGGTTGTGCATTTCAGAGGGGATGCTTCACGGTTGGGGGAACACTCCTTGAATCTGCCAGTTTGATCCATCCGGGATCAACATTTCAGCAACTTTGGGTAGGCCTTTTTTGAGCGCACCTTTTTTGGGGTATGGGAGACCAAAGGGAACCAAAAGGGAATCAACAGGACATCAAACAGAAACCAAGAGGAATCCAGACGGAAATCAGGCTGCATTCTGTGGGTTCCTCCTTCATTTGGGGACCGATTTCACACGAAGCGGTCCATGCCAGGAAGCAGCCCGGGCGGTGGCGGACAAGAAGTTGGATGTGGCGAAGCAGGCCCTCAAAGAAATGGAGGACAAATGGTGACTCGCAAACACGCACCCCCAACTAGGTAAGGTGCTCAGATGCCCACTCTGAATGCTCACTTTACGGGACTCAGTCCAAGAGGAATCTCATTCATCTCATGTCGCAGTGTTTCATACACCCTGGATTCTGGAGAAAAGGGGCACTATCCTCCCCACCTCGAGGGGGCCCCCTCAAGCCTCCCTTTGGCACCAGAGGGTGGGCGTGCTCCAATTCGTGCCATGGGCCATTTCGCATTCAGGATGCCGATTCCCAGCTCCAGAAATTGTCCATGCACGCAGCCGACCGGCTGGACGACACCTCCAGAAATGCCGAGGAGCCGACTTGTCCCACGGAACCACCGGAAGTTGGTTGGGGATGGAACCTTAGTATTAGCATGGAATTCCCTGGCGGTCTAAATATTTATTTGCCCTCAGACATGGAGCAGGCGTGAGTGGCTCGCGATGTGAGAAGGCTGGTTTTGTAAGCCGTGCAAATGATGGGTGAAGAGGTCTAACAGCTAAGGATACGGCCAGCCCCTGAGGGTTGCCTGCGCCTCAAAGCAACGCCCGGACGCTCGAACCGGACGGTCTGCGTCACCACGTGCTCTGAATTTGTCAATCAGGCTCAGGCTTATACAGCCAAAGCGCACCTCGGCTCATTGAAAGCAGAGATGGCGGCAGCTTAATGTGCCCTTCTAGCCGATACTTTTTGAGAGCTTATAAGACCTGCACTAGCATCTAGCCTGCAGGGGGTCACGCAATCAACCTGGACCCTAAACTTAAACACTAACCTGGACCCTAAACCCAAACCCTAAGGGGAGGACGGCAACCCTCGGGCGCTGCGGGCAGGGATAGCGTGGTAAGGGTCCTCACGTCTTCGCGCTCGTTCCCATAAACTACTTGAGTTGAGTTGTTTGGGCTGGCGGGTGGCTTGCGTCAGACGTCAGAGCCCAAGCATGTCGTTCCCTCAGGAGGCTGGCCGAGACGCCGCCCGGGCTGCCGAGGAGAAGGCGCTTTCGCGGGGGGGAGAGAGCAGCTCGGGAAGCACCAGAGCTGCAACCGAAGTGTAAAAAAGGTGCAAACCTCCCTTTGACAAGGAGACCCAAAGAATAAGCGCCGCCGTATTTAGATACTCAGCGCCACGCAGATGTCCAACAGCTTGCAAAAAGGCCAGAAGCGTTCTGACACGACAAAGCAGAGCTTGCCGATATCAGTTGCAGCCATACTAGGTTCATTGGTCGAATTTCCCACCAAGACCCGGCAGAATATTGTTTCACACGTTTACGCGTGTCCTTCATGGGAACCGCGTATTCTGAGTCAGGCCGACAAACTGGCCCGGAATGCCCGGAAAGAGACAGACCACCTGTCGCGCTCGGCGGCACGTTTCAACGTGCCAGACCTGTCGGACAAGCGCGGCCCCTGGGGCGGGAGGGGGTTTGGGGAGGGAGACTTGTTGTTGGACAACATGGGTGTTTGTTTGGTGGAACCCCTGTTTGGTTGGTTTGAGAAGGAAGTCCGCACAAAATCATCGATTTTTACCAACCCCTCCCCAATTCTGAGACAGACCCAAATCCTCAGTTGTCAGATAGTTTATCTCAAAATACGTGGGGGCGTGATTTGACAGTGTAGGGTTGATTTTTGTTGACCACCCTTCAGTTTTTTTACAGGGTTGGAGCCTGCCAAAAGAGGTTTTACATGCCCATGGATTCGTTGCTTTGTCGGTTTCGGCACGGGGCGATTTGCGTCAAAGGTGGCTGACGGACATTCGCAGGCCCGTTGCATTGGCTTCGTCGACCCAGGTACGACACGTTGGCGAGCAAGGCTGCACGAAAGGTGCAGGACGCCGCAGAGAAAGGCGATTGAATCGTGGGTGAACCGGTGGCATCCGGTAGCAATGGCTTGGGGGCGCGGCTTCTCCTGGGAAAAAATATCAAATGAGATTTCAAGTGACGGGGTTCCGTTTTCCTTGAAATCAGCCTGAGGAAGGGTACCAGCTCCAAGGACCAAAATCTCTTGATTCCAATCCAGCAGGTCAAAGCTAAACTGTGAAACGAGCCATGGGCTCAGGGACTGTTGGGAATCACGGCATATGCGGGTAGCTCCCTGGGGTTGGGTTTCAGGGGGCCAGGAAAAACCGGCGTCCGGCGTCTGCAACAGAGGGTCCCGCTTTTTGACACAAAGGCTCTTGAATATGCCACATTGTAGGGTAAAACTGACTTGATGCCTGGCAGGCCTTTCCTTTTTGCAATAGCTTAGGGACAATCTCGGGTGACTCAATGATCAATGGGTTGATCACGCTCGATGGCTTGATCATGGGAAACCGCAGGGAAACCAAAGGGAAGCCACGGAGATCGAAGGGCACTTCAGCTATTGACAAGTAGCTCCCTGTGAATAAATGCTCCTTTGGCTTTCCTCCTTCTTTTTCTTCCTTCGGTGTTTTGTTTGGTGTCCCTTTTGTTTTCCTTTGGACCAGCTCCCAAAAAGGGTACGCTTAAAAAGTCGCACGGCAACCACATCTGCCGTTTGGGCCCTGAAGCGTGAAACCTCCGCAGTTTTGCCAGGCGCGCGCGCAACGGAGGATGCGGCGCGGAAGTTGCCCAGGCGCCGTTTTTAAGGTAAAGAGGTCGAAGTGAGTTCAGTCCCGCCGTGATTCCGCGAATCCGTGTTTCCATGTGTTGCTGGCTTGGTGCTTGCTTGGTTGGTTGGTCGCTTGGTTGCTTGCTTGCGTGCTTGCTTGGTTGGTTGGTCCTGCTTGCTTGCTTGCTTGGTTGGTTTCCAATCGTTGGACAAGGGAATAATTGTGTCAAACTTGAGTTTGGTTTCTTCCGCGTTCCTTGAACACTCCAGTCAGGGGATCCACACGAAAGTGCTATGAGTTGTCTTTTGAACAAACGGTGCAGGGACAATGATGGCGATTTAGCCACGGAATTTGAGCGGGAAACACTTGCAAAATTGGTTGTTGGACATACACCCCTGCGCAAATGATGAGCAACGTGTTCCCAGTTATGATTCATAGCCCCTTCTGAACTCTCTCCAAAGGAGAGTGATGGCATCGGGGTGTGTCCTGGCGGCTTTTCTTTCTATCAAGAACTTCGCAAAGGTCCAAAAGTGTGTGTCGTTGCGTTTTTTTTGCTCACAAGCCAGGCTTGCAGTGTTGGTCTACTTTTTTGATGCATTGCCTGGGCTTTGGTTTGTGATCGAGTTGGCCTGACCTGCCTTTCGGACGAACCTTTTGACTGATCTGGGTAAAGGTGGGCTACGGAAAGGTCGCCTGTGAAGGTTCCTTCTTCAGGGGACCACAATTTGCTCGTGATTTTGTTCATGATTCACCTGGATGTTTCGAAGTTGACCACGCCCATCTAAGAAGGAAGTCTTTTTCTCGAGCCCAGGGAGTACCGCAAGAAGGCAAAGGAGGCGGGAACTGCGAGCGGGTGGCGCCACAAAAGAAGCGGATTGATGCTGGAAGCATGTGACATTTAGCTGTGAGTTTTACTGCGGAGAACCCTTCAACATGGTTGGCAGACATCAATCTCCTTGCGAATGACGTCCGTCCCCAACTCGAAACCATACCCACAGTCGTTCAGTGGACATGGAGCCTGCTGCGGTATCGCGAAGTTGTTGCGTGCATTTGTGGAATCGCCGGGCGATTTGCGGATTGGGCTGCTAGTTCTGATTCCCACAGCCACTGATAGTCAATCTCAAACCCCGACAAAGTTTTGCAGTGGGCGTATGACTCCCTTCTTCCAGGTTTTCGACAACATGGCTTGCACTCTGTGCTTCATCCAGGAAGGACACGGGGACTATACCGCTGGACTTGTCCTACGCACAGGGGACCCAACATTAGGTGGCTTCCTTCCTGGTCTGCCGTACTAACAGAGGCAGGTGCTTTCCTTTTGCCTTACCCCATCCAACACCTCACCCCCATTGAGGAACCCAACAATAATATGATTGCCCAAAACCCATTGGCTCACTCCCTGAGTTCATGGACTTTAGGCTTTTGGGAAGACGATGTTAGTGGCAAACAGCAAGTTGGACCTTTGTTGGCGAGTCCACTCAGGAAGTGAGTAGGGGCCGACCCAAAACCGATACCCCAGCAGTGTCCATTGCTAGAGTCCGTTGCTGAGGCGGAGCATGCCCGCCAGCGTGCCATGAAGACGACCCGCGAGCTGATCGACTCGGCGGAGAAGCAGGCGGCTTGTTTAATGTGGCCGGGGGAAGGTTGAGAGATTGGGACATTGCGGGGTGGGAGTGGGGAATTGGTGAAACAGAACGAATCTGAATCAAAGGCGAAAACTAGATGTGCTATGATGTGCCATGGTCAAAGGACTTGGGGCACGGTAAGGATTCCCATTCACAAAGCCATGACCATGTCAGGAGTTTTGTGAGTGGCAGGAGTTTGGCCCCAACCTTTTCGGGAATGGGTCGAACTTTCCGGGGATTTTCAGGAACCTTTTGGCCGCTTCAGCAAGGAAAAATGGGCCCCAGAAGTGGGACGCCAACAAGGGGCCGCGTTCGGACTGCCAATTGACACGCGGGAGAGCAAGAGAGTGCCGTGACAACGCTGGGGGACAAGAGAAGTGACTTCTGAGCAAGGTTGGGCCCACCGTTTGTTTTTGCATGTTTAAGCCACTGTTTCAATAACCTCCTTTTGGTTTCCCTTCAAAGGGACCAGAGTTAGTGAACAGAAAAGCCAAACGGAAGATACCAAAGATGCAAGGGCAGGCACTTCCAGCGCTTGCTGCGGACAGAATTTGCACGTGGCGGTTGGAACACACGGGTTGTTGACGGAAAATGCTTCTGACCCAAGAGGCAACAACAACATGGCACGGTCCAAGTAAACGATGTACAAGGAAACCTGGGTTGTTGAATACCATCTTGCAACAAACAAGGCTTTTCCTCAGATAGCTGCAAGCTACACGGGGTTCTTACGTCTAAAGCGGGCAGCCAGGTTGGTGCAGATGCTTCACAGGGTGCTGTTTGGGGTGTGCTCAAGGTGCTGTGGTGGTTGCTGGCGGTGCCTGCTTTGCGCTGTCTGTGGTCAGGGTGCTGTTTGGGTGAGGGTGCTCCTTCACATCCTCAAGGCATGGTGCAGCTCGTGGTGCTTGTGGGTGCTGCTTGGTGTGCCAAGGTGGTGCGGGTGGTTGCCAGCGTTTGTGCTTGATTGGCGATGCAACAAGGGTGCTGGTTTGGGGTGCTGTTGCTGAGTTAGGGTGCTGTTTGGGTGCTTAAGAAGGTACTGTTTGCTGTACCCAAGGCGCGGTGGCAGTTGTTAGTGTGCTTGTTTGCCAATGCAGACAGGGTGCTGGTCAGGCTGCTGTTGAAATCTTCCTTTGCTATCTGTGGTCAATCCTGGTGACCCTGCTGGCATGAACCTGAGAAGCACAGCTCCAGGACTCGGGCGCGACTCCATCTCTTCTTCTTGAAGCTGATGGCAGTCATGCTCGGTGCCCAGCGTGTAGAAAGCAAGCTCCGACCCACTTGGAGAGTCAAGGCCACCGGGTCAAAATCTTGTTTGAGCACACCCATTTGATTGCACTCAGAATCTGATCACACCTCAACAATGCTCGTTTGAAATTTGCTCCCGCCACGGAAGAACTGATGCCGGATGGTGATTTTCAAACCAGGAAATGGCCCCATCGCTTCGAGGTGTTCCCGCTGATCGCGCTTGCCGCCACAGCAGGACAGGTTGGCAGTTTGAGGGTCGCGAGCAGCGCGTGGTGAAGCCAGATGGGTTGTCTGGAGGGAACCCTCAAATCGGTTGGTTGCCTTTCATTTTCTCGAAAAGACAAAAAGCCCAAGAGGGTGCTTCCCCAAGAAAACACCCCGCCCTTTTGCATGGATTTTCGATGGGAACCATGAAGAAGCCGAGCATTTCTGAGGACCCTTTGGGCACACCCAAGTTTTCAACCTCCTCACCATGAATTTGCCCCAGGCCTGCCGGGTACTGCAGGAATAGAAACACAGAGCCCTGGCTTTTGCCCTGCCCAAAACCCCGGTTGGCCATATTGGAAGGGATCCAACTTGGTGTCATGGGGATTGAAGTCTGAAGTCTAAACCAACTTGAACGAACCTCCACGGCGAAATCCGTAGAAACCTTTGTACCCACCGTGGTTCCAGGTGAACAAACAGGTGGAAGGAGCGTTGCTGAGTTGCAATCCTGCAGTTCAGGAGCCGCGGCGGCCGTCGCCGCTGTCCACCTGGGGCGCCAGAGAGATGAAGAGGTCGAGGCGAGGGGGTAAGCGGTGGACACTGCGACCAAAACCGACTTCTAATGTGTAGGTGGTTCTACCTGGTTTCACGGGGGTTATAGAAAGGGCTATATAAACGAGTACCAGTTGGAACCCAAAGTCCATGACAATGAGGGCTCTGGAGTGCTCACTTGGCTGAAGCAGGTCGGCTTGGCCTTTTCGATGTGCTGAGACTCATTTTGGTTTCGTTGATCCTGCGAGGTCAGCCACATCAGGGACTCAAGTGCGATGGGATCAACTCCTCCGCCCATTCTCCTTGTTTCTTCGCCCTCCCGTTTTGGACGGTAGCCGTGTTTTGGTGGTTTTAAAGGGAACACCGATTTGAGGGCTCCCCTCGAAAAGACACAATTGTGTACCGGTCTCTTTGAGGGCGTCCGACCATCTGGGGCAGGGAAGCCAACAAGAAATCTGGTCGCCCCACTCTCATGTTCTTTTTCTGTTCTGACTTTCCGCTCTGCTGGCTCATTCCTGCGCTTTGCCTTGTATGCTGGTTCCAGCTGCCAAACAACAGACAACCACTATAGACGGCAACACTATATAGAGACGCAATTTCTTTTTTTGGAGCCTCGTGGCCTGATTGGGGCTTTGTTGAGTCGCGGGCTTAAGGTTTGGCTCAAATTGGCTTGAGTTTTGGCTGTCTCCTCGAGCCACCATGGCCACGAGATGGGCCGACATGTTTGACGACGAGCCTGAAGCTGAAGCAAAGGGTGCCAAGCATGGTACACTTGGCGAGCATGCCGAGCAGCACAAACATGCGGAGCAGGCCATGCACTACCAGCATGCCAAGTACAAGCATGCCATGGATGCCGGGCATTCCGAGCATGCCAAGGTGTCCAAGGCCTCTATGCAGACTGACGACCCATCGCTGTGGCCAATGCCAGTGCCTCACACTGCCCATTTGGCTGTGCCTGCGCGGATGCCGTTTGCGCAGGTGATGCAGCCGCCGACCGTGCAGCCGCGGCAGCCAATGGTTTGGCTTGTTTGCATGGCAGCACCGCAGTTCCAATGCTGGGAGACGCCGCAGATTTGGGCATCCCGGGAGATGACCGAACAATGTTCCTCCAAATGCCCCTCGGAGACTCGTGGGCAGACTTGTCCTGCTGTCAGACGGGGTCAGCGCTGCCGCCACTACCTGCAGGGCCGCTGCTACAGAAGCAACTGCAAGTTCTGCCACTGTTGCTTCTAAAGGCATGCAAGTGACCTCAGCCAGCTTGCCTGTATCTCCGCATAGTGCGGAGTTTTCTGGTGCTCAGGTAATTTGCTGAGCACTCGCTAATGATTCTTGCAATGCACCGAGGTCTGTACGCACTTCAGGCAGTGTGCCTGTATCTTTGCATGGTTGAGCTGGTGCTCAGGCAATTTGCCAAGCACCTGCTCACGTAGTAAACTTTTGGATTCTTCGGGCGGGAGGTTTGCACAGTACGGGCAATTCGCCTGTATGGTAGCTTTGAGCTTGTGGTGCTCCGGCAGTTTGCCAATCACTCGCTCGCTTAGTAGCTTCTTGGATTCTTGGGTAGGTGGAGCACACCAAAGTGCAGTCAGGATTATGCGCCACAAAAGACGAGGGAGCAGGCAGCAGGATTGGAAGTCGAGAGAATTCTTCTTTTCTGTACATTTGACACGTGACTGTGTGTGTGTTATGAGTGAGAGAGCGGGGTAGCAGGGAGAGAGTGACCCTTGGGAGAGGGATCGCACAGCACAAGGACGCGCACTCCGAGTGACACTCATGTTGCACGCGAGAGAGAGACCGAGGAGTGCGATCCCTCTGGTGTTTTTATGTTGTCCAAACAGTTGTAGACTCTTCAATGTGGGAAGCTATGCGATAGTTCCGGTTAGAAAGGACAAGCTGATCCGAGAGGAGCTGTGTCGTCATAAGCAAAGGACTTTGGGCCATTTGTGGCACGTGCCAGGACAAGTATTTGCCGCTTTCCTGCAGACGGGAAGGCTGTCTACACCGGGGACTAGTAGTCTAGGATGCAGTTGGGAGGGACATTGCGGACTCACTACTGTCCCGCAAGCATTGGGGGACTCACTAATTTTGAGAAGCACATGAGAGGGGGTTGATCAATATTCCTGGCTCCCACATGACCATGGGTGACTTTTTACATGTAGTGGGAAGTCATTATTTTGGTGGTTTTCTTTGTTGGTCATCTCATGAAAGGGACCTTTTGATCAACCCGAAATGTTTTGGCCGTGACTTGGACAACTGGTCCATATGCTCACATCAACTTATCCGGAATGTGCAAGCGCCTTGTATGAGGGGTTGTTCACAAATGGGATGTGTTTTGTTGATTCCCCTGTGGCTTTTTTGCGCGGACAATCCATGAGTCTGTTTGTGACCCCTCTTTGAAACAAGCAGAAACCAAGACCATCGATGCCTTTTTTGGACACATCAAGTCACCTTCGTCCAGGTTTGTGAGACTGTCATGTTCAACAGCCCTCTATTCAGGTTGCATACAGTTGCCTCAGGGATATGGCAAATCAATTTGGCTGGGCTTTCCAAGTGCCATAAACGTGATTCAGCAATCGTCCCGGGGACCGTATGAGGGACCCTGTCTTCCCTTGACTCGGGTTCCATGAGGAAGCAAGCCCGTATGGGGCCCCAGTTCTTTGAGACAAATGGAGCCATCCTTGGCCTGAGTTCATTCCGTTTCATGCCCGTTTTCCGTTCAGTGTCATGGTGAAATTCTGCAACCTGCGCCGGGTGGCGGTGCCAGAATGCAAACCAGTCACAGCAGCTATCTCATGATCACCGGGATTCATTCCAATTCGCCCAGCTGCGAAATATACATTTGCTGTTTGAAAAGAGGGGACCTCATATATGGTTGGTTTCAGTTGGTTTCCCTTTGAAACAACCCGGGCAAGACAGCCTGCGCCGAGGTTGGTGGTTTGAGATGCCAAGATGCCGAGCTGAGCTCTGGACTCTTGGACAGCCAGATGTGCAAGGAGCTGGGACAAAACCATGTGGAAAGTGCGAGCAAAACGCCCCCACTTGTCTCCATTTAGTGGTTTTTTTTTTTTGGAGGGTACCCTCTGGTTGCTTTAAAGGGAAACTAAAGGGACACCACCAATTGTTCAGATTTCGACACAAACCCGCATGAGTGCAGTGGGCCGCTGCCAAACTGGTTTGCCATGCAAACAAATGGAGTTGGTGCGGGAACACGCGGCTGAGGGCATATCATGGGTGTGACTGCATGGGCTTTGCCGCTTTGCATCAGGACGCTGCGTGCTGATGGGACTGGCGTGGCACAGAATGGGTATCACCGCAGCCTCACGCTTTTCGAAGGACGGAGACAGAGGATGTCTTCAAGTCCGAACGTTTGATAGACCGATGGACAATGGATGGTATGATCTTTTGGCGATGTTTGCGATAGGCTAGGTGATCACTTTTGACGGCCCACCAGGGCGCCGCGCCGGGGTCTTGTGCATTTTCCGCAGGGAGTTCCCGATGTATTCGACCCGTCTCAAATGTGTGCAATTCAACGCAAGGCGCGCCCCGAACTCCGGAGACTGGTGCCCTGTCCATCTCAGGCACCAAGCCAAAGAGGAAAGACTTTTGGTAGGGCACCGTTGTTGGATTTTCCTTGTTTTTTCATGAGCTTTTGACAGGGCGACTTGGTGCAACCATGCCCTTTGAAGCATGAGGGAGATGCGATCTGCCCAACTCGGCGCGCCTTGACACCGTTGCTTTTGCCCAGGGTTTCCAAAAAGCAAACAAAACTGTGCAGCGGACAGCTCACAGTTCTTGCCTTGAAAGAGCGTTTCTGATGTGCTTGACCTTTCCAGAGTCCATTGAGCTGTGGTGTTGAGAAAGTCCAATCAGGTCAGTGCCATGTTGCAATCAAGCAAGTCAGCATCCCAACATTGCAAGTAAACACCCGGATTTCATCAAAGGAGAGCCTTGCGGCCTTGCGTTCTGGAGACTCTTGGTGCCCTTTCTCTGTACAGAGCCTGTGCCGTGTCAGCGTGTCCTGGCGCCAAAAGGAGTCGAGAGAGCCCTTCTTGCTGGCAGTGCCTCCCCAAAACTCGAATACGCCCAGGGAGTTGTTGGGTTTGTCTTTGTTGCACGCAAGATTCTCAGTTTGGCAAATATTTGTTCTGAATTGGTAGCAGGCTTTTTTGTGCTCTTCTCAGGGTGGCTCCAAGAACTGCGCGTAGCTAGAGGCCCTCATGAACACCATGGGTCTCTTCAGACATGGGTGTGGGAGTTTATGTTGATGGCACCCTTTCACATCTTTTGGTTTCCCCCTTTGTTGAAACAAGTGTCTTCAGCGTCTTCGTGCAAAATCAAATTGTGACATCGACAGCTTCCTTGTAGACTGCTTCTCCTTTTCCGGAAGGAGAAGCAGCCTACAGAACGCAGTCGAGCTATTGCGCTCATGTTTGGGCGGGTGCCTCAACTTTGGGAGTTTGATAGAGCTGCTTCCCGGTGTTTCCAGGCCGCACGGTGCGAAGATTTGCTGAGGTGATGACTTGCTCCTTGCGGAGTTTCGCTTGATTTCCAGGCCAGCGATGCATGGGCAGGTGGTGGGGGGTGGTGGTTAATCTTGGGCTTATTTGGTGGACTGGTAGCAGCAGCGTTTTGTGCTGTGTGGCAGACCTCGCACAGGAGGCTTCGACAGATGTTTTGAGCTTCCTGGCTTGTCCACAAGTTGCTTTTGGCCGACACACCGGGCAGCCGTTTTTCCCCAGCGGATGTGAGGAAAGGACCGGCTGAGTCATGGAAGAGTGCCCAGAAGAAGACGTGGAGGGTTACGTGCACAAGTTCTTGGAGGAAGCCAAAAGAATCCTGTCTGTTTGTCAGTGACGATTCTCCACCGGCAGGCTGTGGGAAGAGCCTTCTTGCCGGAACCCTGACTTTGGGAAATTCAACTGCACCAACGGGCCTCGGTTTCCCCTTGACCGGAAAGTCAGACCGGCGAAAGGGTTTCTGAAGGCATCATGACCATAGGTGTCCTTCCAGCTCAGGTTGGTTGAAAATAGCTGGTGCTGGTTTCAGCGCCCTAATCCAACAACTGTGCCATCGATTTGGTCACTCATAAAGGGGGAGTTTTGACCTCCTTGGCCCGAGTGCCGAAGCTTTCGTGCCCATCCGTTCGGGTTGGTTGTCCCTAACCTCCACGGAGCGGAGCTTCCTCAAGTTTCATGTAGGGAGGGTCATGAGACACACCCTTTCTAAGTCAGTGCGTTAACCGCGCATACCTCACTTCATGTAGGTATTGTTGCCTCAGTTGAGCCCTTAGACACACAATGCCTCACCAAATGGGCGATAGTGCCTAAACGTTAAGCATAGCATACATTACTGCTTGTATAAGCAATGTTTACCCAGAACTCGTGGCATAGGAATTTATTACGCTATCTATAATATATGTATATATATATATATCTATACACATACACGTAATCAATTTAATATATGTCTTAACAAACAATATACTGACTACATTATGATCAGGGGCTTGCCCTCCCAAACCAAAGAAGGAGGTTGCCCAAACAACTGATGTGGCTCTATGCCTTTAACACATTGCAGGTTTGTCTCTTGGGTCGAAGCCCTTTCCGGATGGTTTTTGAAAGGAGCACAACAGGAAACCAACCAGTTTGGGGGGTTCATCTCAATTGCGTCAAACGCCCTTACTGTGGATGAGAAAAAACACTCCGCACCAGTTTGCATGGATGAAACCCTATGAATGCGGAAATCCCACTGGTGCAGTGTTTTTGCCATCAACAACTGTCCACCCACTGTTTTACGCCACCCTAGCCGAACGGATTTGCCCGGGCATTTTCCGACGCACGATGTTCGTCGCATCTGAGGAGGCGCCCTGCTGCTCACAGCGCCAGAGGGCCCCTTTCCGCTGGCAGAGGAGGAGGTGCCGCACTTCGGCACCACACAGCCGCTGGGCAAATCGGTTTGAGCTGCGAAGAAGGGGTTGCACAATTTGGGGTTGCCGAGGGAAACCACGTGGATCCCCCCATGGGGTTGCTGGAAAGGTCATGGGGTGGCTTGCGGAAGCCAACAGAAACTCGTGGGTCAGGTTTGGAGTTCTTTTGAGACATTTGTATTTCGATTCGATTTGGGCTCAGAAGGGCAGACTTTCCGACGGAATCCTTGCGTGGAATCGATGATCAGAGGGTTTGATTTTGACATTGCCAAACAGTGGTAGTGTGGGCCCGCCCGGCCAACAGGGGATTTGTCAGTTCGAGGGACACCCTGTTTGGCCCCTTGTCATTTTGTTGTCAGGCGAGGCGAGCAAAGTGTTTGGCCCATAGCTTGGAGCGTTGTTCAGCGGCGTTCTCCTGCGTGCTGAGGAGATATCGCTGCTGGCAAAAGGGCCCCAACAGCCTGGTCTGCCACACCCTGCCGGAGCTATTCAGCGACAGCTTTGCCCGGAATGCGGACAAGGAGTTCCTTGCCACGCGCCGAGACAAGAAGCCACGGCTTCTTTTTACATGAGGTTCGGTCAAGAAATCCAGCAGTGCATGATGGTTCATTGGGGAGGGACTCCGGGGGACTCTTTTTGGGATTCCAGGTTAATTTGAGGAGAGCGGCTCCCAGGTGCCGGTGACCCCAACAGCAGAATGCGAATTGGAATGTTTATTGGGTCTCGAAACAAGCAAAAAGAGAGCTAGAGTGTGCAGACTATTGCTGTCAAAACCAAAAATATGCTGTTACCCGGAACGGACCTTGGACAATTAGAGTCCTTGCCGTGTTGGAATCCTCTTTGGGGAACCTGCCTTTTTGGTTTCCATATGAATGGACATTTGGGGGATCGCTCAGGTCTACGAAGGCGATCGCTTTACCTATGGCGAGGCTCAGGAGATCTCCGTGTCTTTGTCCCGGGCACTGGCCCAGGAGTTCGGCGTGAAGCGAGGCGCAGATGTTGGGCCCCACGCGTGCAAAGAGGAGATCACTCCTAAGAGCTACGTGCTGAAACCGCTCAAACTATGAATGGGAAATCGAAGGTTAAGTTACAGACCCATCTATCAATACGTGCGAATATCCGCCCTCTTGATTCTTTGACATAGCTTTTGGGTAGACCCCATGAGTACCAGACGTTTCGTTTTGGACTCACTTCCCCGAAAAAAAATAAGTGAGTCAGTATGGGTTTATTTCAGTTTCCTTTCTGAAACTGAAAATCATCGCTTCCAAAGATCATTTGTTGCCCCGAAGAACTGGACGATCTGTTCCCTTTCGATGTCCCTCTTTAAAGCTGGGAGTGTCAGTGTCAAGCCAATTTCGATGCAAAACAAAAAGACCAGGGTGTTGTAGAAGGGGATCCCTCTGTGACATGTTGCAGCTTTTGTTCGGCTTTGACTGTCAGGGCGCCGCTCGCCCTCTCAGGCTCCTGTGTGGCCATTGCCGGCAGGAACTTCCCGGAGTCTTTGTCAGAACATGTCTCAGGCCACCCCCGGAACGGGTGTCACAGCACTCACCGAATCCTTTGAGCTTTGGGAGTGAAGAATGATCGGGGCTTGCGTGAGCGTTTGGTTGTGTAGTGCCGAGCACGGGCTGGCAAGCACATGACAAACACCTGCGACCCTGGGGAAAACGTGCTCCCTGCTTCCTGTTTGCTGTGCTTGTGGAAGCTTCCCTTGGTGAATCTTGGCGAGCTCGAGGGTGCGGTGAACAGTTCGTGGCCCCCACCCGTCAAGAGGTGGGGCTGTTGTGCTTCAGTTTTTGAGTGTAAGGGAAACCAAAAGCAAGACCACATTTTGGGGGGCTCTCCCGATGTCGGCACATACCCACATTGTCCCGGGCTAAGGAGTGGGTTTTCACCCTCATCGCAGTGAACGGCTTCCTGAGCGCCGTGTCGTTGCCAGTGAATGCCTGGTGGACGGGTGATGAGTTGAAGCATCTTGGACCAGGATTTAAGCTCATCGCTTGGCAGTCACAACAGGTTTGCTTTTTTGTTGGTGGCGAGCTCACTCCGGGGGGGGGGGATAAAAACAAGCTCCCCGTGAGAGTACGGGTCCTTAAAATACGGGATCCCTTCAGGGTTTTGAATGATACGGTCCATTCGAGCAGGACGGGAGGACATGGAGGGACAACCAAACATTTCCCACAGAACCAGGGGGTCAACCCACTTTTGAGGAAACAAGCAGCTCTTTCCCTGATCATCAACTTCTTGATCGGGATTTTGGACGACCAATGCTCCTTTGAAGGAATAAGGACTTTGTTTTGTTTTGCTTTTGTTTCCCGGTTGGTACCTGGCTACCTGTGGTACCCTCCCACCAACAAACATTTAAGTGCACAGATTTTCTTTGGATAAGATTGCTCCCCTCTTGGGTGATAGTAGATGGCACAGTTCCAATTTTGGTTTAGTCCCTTGCTTGCCCACCAGGAAGGTCGCGCCATCTACTTTCACCCTGGCGTACCCAGTTGTCCGTGGATTCCACCCTCTGAATTCCTTTCAGGCTAGTGACCTTGGTGTTAGAACGCACTCCAGTTCCTCCGACCCCATCGCTGAAACCCTTCCTCGCCGTGCCCGCGCGAGCGAGGTACGGCCTGGAAGATTCCCAGAGCTGCCTCTTGGTGGCGGACGCCGAGCGCGTGGAGCGGGCGCCCTTTTTGAAGAGCATGGGCGCGGGCCTCGGCGTGTTTTCGTTCGGCGGCAAAATCCAAGGGTGTCTTTTTTGGCCTTTCGGGGTTGAGGGACACCTGCCAGAAGACGCCCACCCATGTTGCTAACACCCTTGTCTTGTCCCCTTTTTGTCCCCTTTTTGTTTGGTGGGTTTAAGAGAGCACCCTGAAAAGGGTCGAACCAAAAGGCAGCCCCAGAAGCAGTTGTGATTCGACGATGGAGATCAGGGTACGTGTTGCTACCCGACAGACATGGTAATTGCTGTAGCCGGTTGCTTTGTTTGGTTATCCATCCGTCCCATTGATTGTGAGTCCTTTGCAGCCCTGCCAAAACCATGCGTTTGTTGCTGACTTGCAGAGAGTTGATTTGACCACTGGCATCAGCCGCTGGTAGGTCATTCGAACCTTGTTGTGCTCGAAAATTCGGTACCTCCCTTGTTGGAAAGATCAGTTACCTGCCGAAGTATCAAACCGCATGGGCGCGCATGGGCTATTGTTCTGTAAGAGACGCGTTTTGACCGGGGAACGAAATCGGACCAAACACTGCATGACAAGCACGCGGCTTTGAGCCACAGGAGGCCGCACCGCTGGCAGTGGTTCCGTCTTGGTCACTTTCGGCTTCCTTGCAAGGCCCCTTTAGACTCTTTGGACTTACTTGTTATTTGTTTGGTTGGATGGTTGGTGGGTGGCTTGCTTGCTTGCTTGCTTGCCTGGTGCTACACTTTGTCCTCCGCCCGTTGGATTCAGCTGTGGTTGTTCATCCCTTCCGTCGGAGGCATCCCTGCGGTCTGCATGCGTGCGGGCCAGCGCCGAGCCTTCGTAGAGCCCCACGCCCGGCTCTTCGAGGAAACCAAGCCAAGCGCCGGGCGAAGCCAAGACCCGGCCACGGTAAACCTGGCAAAGGTTCGACCTTTTGCTCAGGGGAAAAGCCGGAAGAGTCCCAGAAATTGGGTGTTTGGCCTTTGTGCCTTGATCAAAGAAAAGGGCACCCTCAAAAAGCAACGGCCCTTTTCTGGCGGTACCCTTTGTACCCTTTTGAGGTGGTCAAGACCCCGGAAAGGTGGATTGAGATATGAGCGGTTTCCCTGTTGGCTCGCAGAAAGGCTCCCGAAAGGCCTAAGTAGGCCTTAGGTCTTCGGCCCTGGCGTGTTTTCGGATTTGGCATTGCCCTTTGACTTCCCTACGAGCAAACGGGTACCCAAGCACAGATCCAAGTGGACATGTTGAGAGGTTCTCAAAAGAGCCGTTTGCCGGGGAGGGGTTATGTTTTTTGGACATGGATCCTAGGTGGACATTACTGAAACATGCCCCTGCGCAAACAAAACGGCCGAGTGGGTTTGTCTTAAAATTGCATATGGAAGCCATACAATCGCTTAAGCGACACATTGGTTTGTGCATAGATTGGTTGAGCCACAACTGCGGGCATGATTTCGACTCTGGGATCATCAAAGTCTGAAATTGAGTCGGTTTCCCTTTGACCTTGAAGATGGTACAGTCATGAGGCCAGCACTTTTTCCCGGGAACTGCCAGAATTCATAAGCGTCAAGCAAGTTAAATTGGTTGACCCGTGAAAACATATGCAAAGGGCAGTTGGTTGACCCGCGCGTTTGACCCACAGATTGGATCATACATTGGCCCCAACAACCAACAAACAACCCAACAACCACCGCCTCCTTCGTCTCTTTGGATGGTAAAGACGGGTGTTTGTTTCTCACGCCAGGGCCCTGGTTTCCCTTTGGAAAGGAAGCCACCCATTTCGGATCCAGGAGCTGGTGATCCTGGGGCGATCCCTGGACCCGCTGCCGCGGCGGCCGGTGCACCAGGACGTAGCTTTGGCGCCGATTTCGATTGGCCGACTGGAAGTTGGTTTCTTTGGTTTCTTTGGTTTGTTTTGGTCGGTTTTGTTGGGTTGCTTTGCTTTGTTTCGATCATTTTATTTGTGGTTTGGCTTTGGTTGGTGGTTGTCTTGTTAGTTGCTTGGATGGCCGTTTTGGGTCACTTTCGTGATGGGAGAAAGGGCAGTCCCTTTTTGGGGAACCCTAATTTTTTGTTTGGCTCCAAAAGAAAGCCTAAAAGGAGGCCAGCCAGTTTTTGGGGCCAATTACCCTGATCTCCAGGTGTTCCTTGAAGAACCCGCAAAACCTCGCCAGACATGGCTCGGAAAAGCACGGATGTTTCGAAGGAAGGTTGGGGAGGGGAGCGGGAGACAGAGACGGAGGGTGAGCAAGCGAGAGACCAAATGAAGGTTGATCGCGTACCTCGCGAATCATTCTTTGAGTTCAACCGCCAGTCAAGAAAGGTGCAACATTCCCGAGAGGGATCTTGGGATTGCGCCGCCCGGCAATGATACCAAGAGATGCGCGGATGAATTCCTTGGCATCGTCCACCTTCAAGTGCTTGAACTTTCATTTTGAATTTCAAATCCGTGGGTGAAGGACTGATGACTGGTTGGGCCCGACACTCGCTGCGACAGCTCTTGCCAAACCCCGGGCTGAGGATCGGGCCATGTTGATGTACACATCTGGCACCACTGCCAAGCCGAAGCTTGGCCTACTTGGGGCATCGCGTTCCTCAAGAACCAGCAACATGCATCAAACACTTCGCGCTCCAAGACTACCGTGAAGCAGCGACGGCTTGCCTCTTGAACTTTTGTTTCCAGTCAAGGCATCCAAAAGGAGGTCAATCGATAATTTTTACCCACATTGACAAATCCAAAGCCATGCTCTTCCGGCTCTCCAAGGAAGGGCGTCGTGATGAGCCATCGCAACATAATGTCCGCCATGAACACAGTACGCAGCTTGTCTTGGCTTGTACAGACACATCCGACAAGTGACCGTCCTTCGAAATCAGGAGCCCTGCAAGCTTGATTCAACAATTGTCACAATTGTTTGGGCTCATCAACATTGAAGCTTCACTGCCCCCTTAAACATGCGCAGTCCCTCAAGCTGCTTACTTCCTTGTTGTTGCGCCCGAACCATGAACCAGAAGCCCGGCTTCGCATGCACAAAGGTCACTGCATATTTTTGGCTTGGAAGCTGCCCTTCGTTCGAATTCCGCGAGGTATGTGGAACTACAGCTCCGTGCCGAAGCCCCAAGGAACTATCCTACTCGCATCGCCGCTGTTTCATGTGCAGCTTGACTTAAATTGGGGCGACTTCAAGGAGTGATGTCCCTGTTGACCGCTTGGCAGAGTCGATTTGGCCTCTTTGCACGTTCGAATTTCAAGTAGAGAACACAGGCATATCAGTGTGTGTGTGTGTGTGTGTCTGTGTGTTCTCAGGGTGCCCTCTTCAAATCGGGAAACCACCCATTTTCGTTTGGGAGGGGGGTTCCTTCCCTGACACATACCCGTATAGTTGGTTCACTCGCACAATCTTTGGGGTGAGGGGCCGTCCCTCCAGTCTGCGCTGCAGGAATGGCTCGCACGTGGGCCTCTTTCAGGTGATTTGCAAAGGCCCCGCGGTTCCCGCACGCGGCAAGTGGCTTGTTGGTGTGTGCGTGTGTGTGTGTGTGTGTGTGGGAAGAGCATTTTAGTGGCAAACAACAGAATCCACTCAGGAAGTGATACTCACTTGGCGCGTGTGATATGAGTCCCAGACAAAGCAAGCTGCTGAGCTTGCTTAGCATGTGTTTGTATCATCGTACACTCCCACTGCTCCCGAAGTCTGGGCCTTTGAAACGAAGCACACAACACTTGGCTCTTGGTGGAAGAACTCCAGGTGAGCTAATTCAGTTTCGCCTCCAGGCGACAAGATGGTGCTCCAGTACAAGTGGGACGCTGTGCGTGCGCTACAGGCGATCCAAGATGAGAAGGTTAACAATATCGTGGGCGTTCCAACCAACACCTACGACCTGGCTACTGGGCTGTCTTGGATACTAGCCACCTGCTTCAGGTTTTTGAGAAGCACAATTTGCAGACGAATTAAAGGAAACCCCATGTCAGTCAAAGAAAATACCCACGGAATGCATCGTTCCCTCTCCTTTTGAGGGAACCACCACTGGTTGGTTCCGTCCTCACGATCTTGTCCAAAGTCAACATTAAGACACTGTTCCTGGTCAGGTTTACTACCCTTGACTTGACTAGCAGGATTCGTGCTTCCAATTTCAGCCTCTGAAATAACTCGGGGCAAGGACAACACTACCTGAGTGTTGCTTTGCCTGGACAGTGGCTTCCCTGCTTCCCTGATTGGCGTGAGGTCAACCACCCGGACTTCTTGAAGTATGACACATCCTCCATGACCCAAGTCGGTGGTGGGGGTGCTGCATTTGCAGCGCCCATGATCAAGCGCGTGAAGGATCCCGCCTGTGTTGTGTCTGCACCATGCCTTGCACGTCACATAGGACACCTTCAAGAAGGCGCGAGCCTCCACTGGCTATGGCCTCACGGCGGCTTGGAAGCATTTCTTGCGGTGCATCGTGCGAGATAGTTGGTCCTGTGGGGCCCAGTTGGTTTGGTTTTAAAGGGAAAACAAGAGGAAACCAACTGCGGTTGAGACGCACCTATTTACAAACCTATGGCGCCAAGTAGAGTTCCCTTGCCCGAAATTGGTTTTCCTGTTGTTCCCTACACATTTCCCCAAACTGGTCCCTCAAAAAAGACACACCCATGTTGCAGATGATCTTGCTGGTTCTCAGCAGGGAATGAGTGAATGACCACTATGAACCATCCGTTGTGGCTACCTTAAAGGTGCTCCCTGGGTTCATTCAGCAAGAAAAGAGAGATATGCAATGGGTATTTGTCGAAGCAGGGGACCTCCTTGCAAATGGGTTTCCATTGGTGTTCCTTTGTCCCCATACCAACTCAAAGAACAAAACCTCCATATTTGGGCAGGAGACGGATGCCATCAGCGTGGTGATGCCCTCCAACCTCTTCCCAGCGCGTCCCACGTCTTGCGGCCTGCCAGTGATTAACGTGGACGTTTGCATCCTCGACGTGGAAGAAGGCCTGGGGGTGGGGGGGGGGGAGTTGTAGGCGAGCAATCAGCGGATTTGGCGTCAAAAATCGCTGCACTCGCTTGCCCTTTAGCCAGCACCATTTTTGCGCTGATGAAAGCCCACTTCGCCCCATCGACCAACGCACAGCTTGCTGGTCTTTATAGACACCATTGTTGTTTTGTTGTTTTGATTGACACTCTATGCGCGAGTTGTTTTCCCATGGACCTCCACCGGAGGCAAAAAGCTGCCTCCCGGCGGGGTGGGGGAGATCTGCTTTCGGGGCGCCACCATCATGCAGGAGCTGCTCGGCCCAAGCGGAACGCATAGTGGACAACAATCAGTTAGCACGTGGACCAGTGGACCCCCAATTGTGGCCAACCCTGCTAGCGGTACCTATTTGTTTGATTCTCTAACTCATTGTTGATCACTGTTGATGAATCCTGGGCTTGTCTCAGCATTGCAGATCCCCAAAATGGGTTGAGTTTCCTGTTGCTTCCCTTTGAAGCCATCCCAAAAAGGGCACCCTTAAAAGAGAGACACGCTGTTGTTCTCACAACCCAACAGTGTCAGGACATGTGGTGGGCGAAATCCTGCACCTGGAATGAATGACACCCTATGAATCCTGAGATAAACCACTGCAAGATTTCGTCCATCCACTGTATTGTTCAATTTGGTGATGTTTAAATGTTGCTGGCTCAATTTTGGTTAGTGACCTTTTCGATTCCACCACCCCTTGTGTTTTCCGGGAGAGGAGAGAGAGAGAGAAAGAAAGAGAGAGAGAGAGAGAGAGAGAGAGTCTCCGCTTTTTTGCAAGTGGGAAGAACTACAGTATGTGGTCCCGTTTGTGTGTAGAGACATGAACACTTTTTTGACCCTATATCATGCTCTCCCTTTGGAAAGACTGCTTTCCTTCCTCTGTTTTTTCCGGAAAGGGGGCAACTGCAGGTCAAAAAGACATGTTGGTTGGAAGGGTGAATCTACTCCAAGTGCACCAAATCAAAACCCCGGAAGATGGTGGGAAGGGGCATTCCCAGCCATAAACAGGCCCGCCCGAACCAAGTTTGATTGTAGTGAGGTACTGGCTCTTGGTCTCTCGAGGTACTGGCAGAAGCCGGACAAGACCGCGGAGGTTTTTTACATCGACGAGCACGGGGAGCTGTGGTTCCGCACCGGGGACCTGGGAGCTGTGGACGAGCAGAACTTTGTTTACATCATGGACCGGGCCAAGGACATCATCATCCGAGGCGTGCCGGGCCAAGGACGCCCTTCTTATCAAGGGCTTGAATTGTAAAATCGGGGGTGTCAGGCAAGGTAACTTACAACCGGCTTGGCTCGCTGCCGCGGTGCAGGCAAGTGTCCACACAGCTGCCTTCCTTCGTTGAGCCAAATGCGCTTGTAACATGTTTTTGGAGCCCTGTGTTCATTGCTTCTCATGAACCAATCCAAAGAGGTTGAAGTACCACATCCCAGCCAGGGCAGAAGTCTGGGATCGAGTGGGGTTGGTTTGCAACGAGAATCTGATCACAAGATCACAGTCCCCCAAAGCCAATGGAGCCGCAGTTTGTGTCACCAAGTTGCCGCTCGCAAATCGTGAATATTAATTTGCCCATGTCAGGGGGCAAAAGAAAGCCATTGATTGAAAGAAGGCTTGCGCCACGGCGCCTGGTTGAAATCTAGCTGTTGATTTGAAGTCAATTGTTCAGATGTATCCTCTAGATGTCTGGCCCAGGCGAGACCCAAAGTTGGGTTGCGGGCAACCAACCAGCCAGCAGCCAACCAATCGACCAATTGACCAAATTTCACTTTGATTCCAGGCGGCGAGAACATCTCCTGCGCCGCGGTGGAGCATGCCCTTTACGAGCATCCTCGCGTTGCCGAGGTGGCTGCAGTGGGGATGCCTCACGAGAACCTCGGGGAGACGGTGGCGGTCGCGGTGGTTTTTAAGACCCCCGGCCGCAGGTTCCGCATGGCTGTGTGCTTTTAACGGGGTGTCCCTTTCAAAGGGAAGCTATCCATTTGGTGGGTTCCGCTATTTGAAGACAAATCCATACATGGGTGCTTGTTGTGTTGAAGTACCCTTTTTGGCAGCGACTTACTAAAGGGAAGATAAAGGGAAGCCTTTTTGTTGTCGGTCCCCCATTTTTGGCACCCACGCATATCCCTGCCGATTAACATGATTAGCCGTTTGGAGTTGGGTACATCTGAAAGGTTTCCGGAGTTGCCAGGCAAACTAAGAGGAAGCCATTGTTAGCGGCTGACAGACGCGCTTTGTTCTTGTAAACCAATTAGTTGTCTTTGTTCACCGCCCGCGGCTCCTTTTCGCAGGAAGGGCAGCTCAGTGCCTAGCGCGGAGCTCCAAGAGCATGCTGCCAAGCTGCTGCCGAAGCACATGGCGGGGTCCCGAAAGGGGCAGGGGGTGGAGTGGGTTGGTGGGAGTGGGTGGGTGGGAGTGGGTGGGTGGGAGTGGGTGGGTGGGAGTGGGTGGGTGGGAGTGGGTGGGTGGGAGTGGGTGGGGGTGGGTCGGGTGGGTGGGGTGGGTCGGGGTTGAGTTGGGTGAAAGTCAAGGGTTGGGGGTTGGGTTGGGGGGAGGAGGGAGGATGGGGCTTGAGGGGGGTCTGGTTGTTTTGGGTGTTTGGGGGGTGGGGTGGATCGATGGAGTAACATTCCATGTGACTGGGCAACAACCAAGGCTTCTGGGGCAACAAAACATTGGTCAGACACTATGCGAGCAATCTGTCGGGCATGTGCTTCTTGTGGTGTGTTTCCAGGCAGGAAGGCAAGCAAGGCAAAGCAAGGCAAAGCAAGCCAAAGCAAGCCAAAGCAAGCCAAGCAGAGCAAAGCAAACGCCTAAGCAAGCGATGTGTTCTAGCAAAAGCCATTACTCAACCACGCCCAAGTCACCCAAAGCCGAATCTAGATACACCTCCAGCACATCCAAGACCACCAAAGCCAACCGGAGACCAACCTTAGGCCGAGCAACCTTAAGCCCAGCATGCATCCTCCAGGGTCAGCCGCCTTACGTGAATGTGGTGTCGCAAAGCCCCCCCCCAGGTGTGCCAGAATGGGGAAATGTCTCCCAAATGCTTTGTTCAAGCTCGTTTAAGATGTTCACGGCAGGGGCCATGCTCCATAAAACAACCTACCCGTACGGACTCCATTTTTGCGGGGCCGTTTTGAGACAAGCCGATTTGTCAAACACAAGGTGTCGAGCAGATTGACTAAACGCTCTATTCATGTTGCCATGAGACTAGTTTGAGACCAACCTACTTGGACCAACGGGAAATTCGTGCCCATGAGGGGGCCGAAACTCGGTCCGGAGACCAAGGGGACTGAGGTGCCTGCGGAAGTCTTCATCTGGCCAGGCGAGCTGCCCAGAGGCGCTCGAACCAGCGAGCCGTTGTCAAACGACCCGTTGGGCAAGGTAAAGGGGTTCTCGAACTAGGTAAACTCCCGTTTGCTGGGTGGTGTCCCTTTAGTGTCCAAAAAGGGTTGCCTCTAAAAAGACGCACTCATGTATCAAAACAGGGATTTGGACCCCAGAGCTGGTGGCTTTCCTCCGTCCCTTTAAACCAACTTCAAAGCACCCTCCAACAAACACACACGCCCTGGTTGGTGAGGTCATGGATAGAACATCAACAGGAGTTTGGGACAACCAATGTAAAGGTTCCTATTGAGGAACCCAGGACAATAGCCCACAAAAGAAGTTTTCATCTTGGCGCTTGGGATGGTTCGTCATTCTCAAAGGGGATGATCATTTTGCCCAGCTCTCCTTTTTCTGGGGATTTTAGGAGTGGTGGTTTTCCTTTGGTTTCCCTTTAAACCCACCTCAAAAGGGCAGCCTCCAAACAGCACACACCCAGACATTGCCACTTTGGTGCTTCCCATTGGCTTCGATAGGCGCGACCGGGAAGATTCAGAAGCGGGACATCCGCGAGCAGTTGGCCAAGATGCGCGCACCCGCAAGTAAGTTGTAGGTAGCTTGCCAAAGCACGTGCAAGCCTCATGGTTTTTTTGTGTGTTGAAATTAGGGCCCCCAAAAAACCGCGCCCCAGGTTGGGACTCTTTGCAGGTTCCAACAAAGAATCCAAGAGCACTTGACTTGAAATCAGTTGGGTTCATAAGAACCCATTTTGGAAGAAAGAACCAACCCGCCGTTCCAAGAGAACAGATGAAGACCGTAGAATATTGGGCCTCTAATTTCGACTCATCTCCCAATTGTTTTTTCGGGTTTCGGTGGGCAAAGGCCCCAGAGCAGCGTGCGCGTTGGAAAACAAGTCCCTCGCGGAAGAAGGAGGGCTTTGGGGCTTCGAGCTCGAGATGAAGTTTCGAAAGCCGAAGGGGTCCTCGTACTTCAGATTTGCGGAACACAAAAGAATACATGTTTAAAGGAATCTCCTTTTGTGGGACACCCTGTTTTGATTCCATGTTATTTTTTGCAGGAGTATTCGTTTTGGAAGCAAACATCAAACCTTGCTGGCAGTCCTCCGCGAATGACATGGTGCCGTGTTTGGGAACTTTATTGCTGAATGAGGCCAGGCTGAGAGCTTGACAAGTATGGTGTTTCTCCAAAGGAAGCCACAGGATGGCGTGTTCAAGCATATGGCTCCCACAAACCAGTGGATTTCAGAACTTCCTTTTCAACCAACCTTAAAGAGGGTACCCTTAGAAAAAGAAACCTGAGGACGCGCACACGCACACACAGACACACACACACACACACACCCACACCCGCACCCACACCCACACCCACACCCACACGCTTGTGTGTGTTTGTGTGTGTGTGTATTTGTGTTTGTGTTTGTGTTTGTGTGTTTGTGTGTTTGTGTGTTTGTGTGTTTGTGTGTTTGTGTGTTTGTGTGTTTGTGTGTTTGTGTGTTTGTGTGTTTGTGTGTTTGTGTGTTTGTGTGTTTGTGTGTTTGTGTGTTTGTGTGTTTGTGTGTTTGTGTGTTTGTGTGTTTGTGTGTTTGTGTGTTTGTGTGTTTGTGTGTTTGTGTGTGTGTGTGTGTGTGTTTGTGTGTTTGTGTGTGTGTGTGTGTGGTGTGTGTGTTTGTGTGTGTGTGTGTGTGTGTGTGTGTGTGTTGTGTGTTGTGTGTGTGTGTGTGTGTGTGTGTGTGTGTGTGTGTGTGTGTTGTGTGTGTGTGTGTGTGTGTGTGTGTGTGTGTGTGTGTGTTGTGTGTGTGTGTGTGTGTGTGTGTGTGTGTGTGTGTGTGTGTGTGTGTGTGTGTGTGTGTGTGTGTGTGTGTGTGTTTGTGGTGTGTTTGGACGCCTCAATTAGCACCCAGGCATGACCGCAGTTGCCTGCGCAGGCAGACCTGAGCCGGGAGGGAGCGCTAGCGAAAAAGAGTGCGAGGCATTGTAGCTCCATGTGCATCTCCAGACGGGTTCGGTGTGGGCCCCCGTTTGATTTTGGAAGCCACACCTTGATTCGGGGGCTCACAATGATGATAGACGTTTGAGCCATGTGGTTGATGCTTGCCATGGTTTGCCGATATGTTGGCAGGTTGTGCTCAAATAGGTCATGACGGGCTGTTCCCGATTTGCTGTTTGTTTGCCCTTTTGTGGTGTGGTTTGAACCCTGCAACAGCGGGTCCGATTTTTCCTGGAATCCCACTATTTTCCCTCCACTCGTCCAACTTTTGCATATGTTTCCTCCTTGTTATGGGCTCTTTCTCCCCCATTTCAGCACCCTTTTTTCCCATTTCGCGCCATGAGCGTGGAGGGTGTGACTCGGCGCCCAAATCCGCCGGAGCGGCCCCCGCAGCCGGTGCGGCCGCCGCCGCAGCGGCCCCCGCCGCTGCCGTTCTTTGGCAGAATGGCGACCGAAAATCGGGCGGGAATGTCAGGGAGGTGGCAAAATGGAGTTTCTCGTGGGTCTTTGAACTGGGTCTTTGAACTGAATGTTCCACTGACACATTCCACGTTGCTGTTTGGCCTTGGTTCGAGGCTGAATCGCATTATATCACATTCAACATGTGTTTGTTCTTTACTCGGGGTCTTGCCAATATTATTTTCGGTTTTGAAATGATTGTGGATTTTGCAGATTCATCCCTGGTATCAAATTTGAGGGGTCCGAAAACTGTGATTCTGTGTCTGAGGGGTTCCTGCCAGAAATGACTGGTAAGTCCAGGAGCTGAACATGGAATCCGGGCTTCATCCAGAGATCTGGGAAGGAAGCCGCACAGTGACAAGTGGAAGGGCCGGACCCATTACTCGCGATTGGGCCTTGCATGATAAGTACAGGTACCATGAAGGACCTAAGGAGAAGCATCACAAATCAGGACTGAACCGCAACAAGTTTCGACTTCAGGTTGTCCAGTACTGCAGTGTTGTTGTTTGTACCAGTTCCGGAGATGTGTCGCAGTAAGGGCCGGAGCCCCTTGATATGTACGTGGGCTTGTTTTGGGGCATGTTTGTTGCTTCGTGGGCCTGGGGTGGGGTGGGATAGCTTGGGTGCAAATGAGGCCCTGAGGCTAGGTTTGGGCTGATGTTTGTTCGCTTTGGTGGGTTTCTGTTGCTTTATGGCTACGCCTGAAATGAAGCTGAGCCAATCAAGACCATCCTGGCGCCCTCAAAGCCAGCCCAAAACCAGGAGAAAGTTGGTCCAAATGCTGGGGACTTTTGATTTCCCCTTCCCACCCAAGAAGTTGACCGATCCCTTTGAGGGACTCCACAACAGGCGCCGGTCCGGCACGAGCTTGTGAGGACCCAGCCGGCGCAGAAGGAGCTCCCTGCCAGGCTGGGCCAGGAATCGGAAAACAAGAAGGGCTGCTTTTTGGGCAGTGTGGCTGGGTGTTTGCGTTTTGAGGCTACCCTTTTCCGGTTATTTTAAAGGGACACCGGAAGGAAAAGGAACACCCATTTTTTGGGCCGGCTATTTTGACACATACCCAACATGTTCCGTTTGTTCTCAATTGCACGCCCTTTGCAAATGTTGGTTTCAGCATCGCTTTGTGGTTGTCATTGTGACTTGAGTGGTTTCAATATATATATATATATATCAAAAGCACTGTGTGGAAAGGGACATAGAAGGGATGCCCTTGCAATGCTCTCGGTTTCGGATTCTGACAGCAAATTAGAGGAGAGCATTGATTGAAAGATGGCTAACTTATCAGAGAAAGTCTCTGTTTTTGGCTCTGCGTTTCTTTGTCTAGAACATACTCAAGATCTGCTAAATCTGGTGTGGCAGAAACTTTGTATTGCTGGCAGTCGTTCCGCCGGGGATTTCAGCGGATTTTGCCTGGTGGAAAGTCCGGTGAAGGACATTTGAGGAAACAATGCAAGCGGAAACTCCGCCGATTGGTTTTTATTTAGCAGAAAATCCCTGGCGGAAACTCCGCAGAGAGGGATTTAGCGAATGTTCTTTAGCGGAAACTCCACTAAAAACAGACCGATGTGTGTCGACGTTTGGGACACACGCAGGGATTCTTGCAGATTTTTGTTTGCTTCGCCCATGTTTACCGATGTTGGGCTGCCGGAAGCTCCACCGATAGCTCTAAACATGACCCTCCTTCAACCCTTTTTATTGAGGAGCTACGAAAGGATGGATGGCTGCGAGCAAGAATCACCAAGCCAAATATACGGAGACCTGATTTTGCATGCAAAAGACACTTGAAAGCAAGTTTTGCGGCTCGTATCCGCTCCACTTGCCGGGCAAGCTTTGGTTTGGAGCGACTATGCGGGGGGGGGGGGGGTTGTCTATCAATGTGCTTCTGCCGGCCATTGGAGTACCACCATGAAAACCGTTGCCCAGTCACTTCTTTGAGCTTCTGTGCCGTTTTGATACGTGCCAAATCAAACAGAGGGAACCTCACCAAAGGTCCCGCCAAAAGAAAATGTGTCTTTCAATGGTTTCCATCAAATTCATACTTTGTTCCTTTGAGGGCATTTGTTTGCGCATAGTTTCACCTTGGCAACCGGACATTGCCGGGCTTTGTGTTTTCGTCCATTGGCTGGAACAGCGAGGGTCGGCGTATGTAAGCCACCGCCTTTGCTGGGCTGAATGTCAAAGCTAGTCAGACCTGTTCCCTGCCATTAAAAAGCAGGCCGGTTCCTGACAAAGACCTGTTCCCTTAAAGCCTCAACTGCTTTTCCGCCGTACTCCAACACGACGTGTTCCCTTTCCCTGACGACCCAAGCGGGGCCCCGTCCGCTTCTCTTTTTGTGAGGCATTGGGTGCCTTTGGAGCTGGAGCTGGCGGTGGCTGGCTCCGTGTGCGCGTACCTCGCCCTGGTGGCGCTGGTCTTTTGCCTCCTCTCCGAAGGAGCCTCGACCCCATACCCGCTGTGCGGTTTGTAACATTTTGTTTGTACTTGCGCCTTTGGTTGCCAAGATTGTACAAGCGGTTGTACAACCGGACACCACAGCAGCCACAGCACTCCCAAAGCGGGTACCCAAGATGGTAAACATTGCTGCCAGAAGATTGCGGGGGAGGGCACTGCGTGTAAATTCCGCGGCATCAAAGCTTGTTTTCCTGCTGTAATCGGATGTTTTCAGGTTTGGGTTATTTAGTGGTTTGCATTGTTGGTTCGCTACTCTGGGTTTTCGGGGTCTTCTTGCAAAAAAGGAATTCTGCAACAATAAACGTACTCGACAAAATCAAAAGCATGCGCTGACACAGCTTTCCCCCAAATTTGTCACCTGTTGCTATGAATGCACCCACATGAACCAACAAGACTGGCATGTTTTCACATGAGTCACTTGTCTTTGTGAATGTTTGCCTTTGTGTGAATGCACCCGCCGACATGTACCAACTGAATAGATACCTGGCATGTTAGTTGTGTGCAACAAGTCAGTCACTTGTCTTCGCTATTCTTCGCTAGTGTTTGCCTTTGTGCGGCTTAGTCAATGCCTATGACGAATTGTTGCAATGATTGCACCCACCTGTACCAACTGAATAGATGCCTCTCATGTCATTGGTATGCAACATAGGTCGTTGTTGATGGTTGCATTTGTGTGGCTTAATCAATGCCTATGA